AATTGTTATTTGTTCAAGAAATAACTAAAATATAATTGATAATATATTTATTTTACAAAAAATTATATATCTTGAAGTTTTTTAAATAATATTTATAATTCAAAATTTAAATTATATATATATTGGAAAGTCCATTATATCTTGATATGAATACTTGAAATGAAAATTATGTTTTGACTAGTTAGAAATAGAATCATACTAAAAAAATCCTTACCATAAGAATTAAAATAATGTTCTATATGCTTAATCACTCTAATAAATTTTTATATTTATGAAAATATTAAAATAAAATCTTTTAAATTCAAATATGTTTGACAAATATCATGCAGTTTTAATTGTCTTTCATAAAAGTGATGCGTGATTTTTCTTAGTTAAATATATCATTTAGTTTAGTCATGTGCTACACAATAAGGTGTTTTGTGTACATTTTTAATGAAAAAATAACTAAATATTATTTAAATCTTTAATTTTTTTTCAAGAAAACACTATAATGATTGATAGAAATATTTATGTATGTAAGGTGATATTTCATGTCAAATTAGTCAATATGATATTGATACAAGCATTTAGATTTCTCTCATCATTATTTTTTGGGTTATTTTTTACATAAATATATATTTGTTTGACAATTTTTTTACAAAATATCAGACATGTGTTTTGAAGCCTTGCTTTAGACAAGCTTAAGAGGGAAATAATTTTTATGGTAAGTAAAAAAGTTATGCTCGTCACAATGTTTTGTCTTGATAAAATAGAAAAAATAAATATTCCTTTGACTATCTATCACATCACATGTGATTTGCGTACCAGATTGTCAAAATTGACAAAAAAAACTTAAATATTCCTTTTTTATGTACATAATTTACTCAACTAGTTTTTTGTTCAAAATATTTAAAAGCAAAGAAAACAGTTGCACTTCTTATGTTTATTCGTGTAAATTTGATTCAAAGCGCTTCAAAATATAACAATTTTTTATCTGACTTTCAATCTGAAAGTAACATTGGCGACAACGTTGAAAGATAGGAAAAGAACTTACATAAATTCAGTACGATGTTCATGTGGGGGCTTTGATATAAATATGAACTTGAAGATTTGGCAGAAAAAAATCTGTAATAATAACTTGGTTGTTGTGTCAAATGTTCATAAATTTCAATTTGAAAACATTTGAAACATTTAAGTATTAAATTTTTATTGTTGCTATGGTAGATGTAGAGCTTATCGTTCTCTTGCGTGCACATATATATATCAGAACCCTAAATTAATAACTTGTGATAACTAATATGTGCGATCCAGTCCCAAGTCGGGTCCCATACATCTATTAATAAAGTCCAAAAGTTAATATTTGATACTCCAGAGTCAATCTTGAAACTTTTTTATATTGATTACCACTGAAGCATACATATTTGGCACAAATCTTTCTACATTTGGGCAACTAAACCTTGGAAACATACTCCAAGATTGGCTTCTAAACTAGCTTGTTAGATTTCATAATGCAGACCTTGTACTTGTGTGTCTGGATGGCAGCAATCATCTCATGCTCGACGATGTCTTGCTGCATCCAAAATTGCTCCAACAAACTTGCGCATTGCAGTGCTTCAGTTGTCTTCACAGGGATGTAATCTTGATTGTCGTCAACCTCCACCTCATCTTATGTGTAACACTAGGGTTTAGAGAGAAGTTCACTCGAAGATAGAAACGTAAACTCTGAAGATGAGAGATACCAACAATGGTTCTCCTCTCCCTTATATAGCTCTCACCAACAAGTACAAGGTGATAAGATCTAATCCCCACCATCCATACCACTCCTAGTGGATGGATGACGTGGCGGATAACCCTAACAAGCACACGTATCGCTGACGTGGCGCACCCAACTAACACACTAACTAACACACTCAATCCTTAGCTACAAGCACACGGATTGCTGACGTGGCACTGTCAACTAACACATCCACTCTATACCTACCAAGTGCGCGGATCGCTGACGTGGCAGCTATGACTAGTGCACACTAAAGTATCTACATCAATATTCAGAGTAACCTCTACTTTAGTTCTAACTAACTAAAGATGGTTACATTATGACACAGGATTCATGAAAAGGTCTTGCACAATTTACTTGAACGTGCGCTTCGAGATCATTGATCACATCAAGATCAATAAGCGGTTGAGCCGGAACCTGTGTCACATCAACATCGGTGGTGCAAATTTGGCAACGGCGAAAGCAATTGCGGATTGTTTCTAGCTTCACATTAATGCTCCAAACTGCAACAGCAATGCGCATAGCCCTGAAAGCGTCAATTTTCTCGAGATCTTTGACCTTGTACTAAAGGCATTGAATGAGGAGACGATTGAAATGACACCGATAGTATGACTTGAGACTTCAAATAATTCTTGTATCACAAGGCTGAATCTTTGATATCATGTTTGGTGGAAAATAGAATACGATTGTGTTGCAGAATGTAATAGCAAATGCAAGCTGCATTAACATGATATGTGCCCTAAAATTGTTCATTATCAAAAGAACATTAGACCAGCCATCCGTGCATCAAACTCTTTCAGCCATTGTAGAAAGATGATTTGTGTCATCTAGACCTTTGAGTTGCTTCGGTTCTTGCATCCATAGTTGTCTAAGTTGATATTTTTGGAACAGCAAGGGATTTTGTATTTTCCAAACGACAAGAAGTGGAAGCTTGTTCAAGCCATCAGCATTGCAGCACGCAGCTAGTGTGAAATGATACTTGTTTTGTTAGCTTCCTTCAAGCAGCTTTGTGGCCAAGGAATTGTGTGCGTGTTGAGACGTCATATGTTAGTGAAAGTAAGTCGATGGTTCGACAGTGAGCATACAATATCATGATGCTTGTACTTACATTATGTTGAACAATCTAGTTTCATCCATGTTGTAGATGTCACGTCGTTCATACTGATCTAGAGTTAAGCAAATCTGCGGCAAGCTCTACCGCCAAGTCCTCTAGCCACACATTTGAGAACTCAAGGTTCCGTAGCCAGATTAGAGCTCGGCAAGGAAGTACGCAGCCTTCTCTTTGATGAGGTCACCTAACATATTGACTTGGTCCTGGTATGTGAGAACCACCGATATAGAGCTATTTCCATCAATGGGTATTTCAAGTCACGATGTCGCTTTGCCGCACGATTCACATCCTCCTTCTTGGCAAGGATTCAACTAAAGGTTTGAGCATTAGAGAATCGTTGTGTGACTGACATAAATTTTATGCGTTTCTTGAAGCCATTTGATCAGGTTTGCTTACGTAAGCGATGAATGCTTTTGCTTGTGATCACAAATAACTATCCAAACCTTGTTGGTCATGTTCGTGGACCTCTTTAAAGCCATTGTGTTGTGCATCTAGTTGTGGCTACTATATAGGGTGAAAGCCACGGCTCACAATTGTTACAAATGACGCAACTCTCAAGCATAGGTGACGACCGTCTTGATTTTTTTCCCTTTGGAGTGCAACTTACGGATTTGACGACAACGCCATGATGCTGGTGAGCTCGATATAATTCAATCTCAAAACATGTTTTGTTGTTACATCGAGAAATTAGCTTTCCATACAGAACCAATGACTCTAGTCAGTGTGCAAATAACTGTTCCACCACAAATGACGCAAACGGAGAACCTCTCTTTATTAATATACCGTCTAGATGAATACATATACCACAGTACCGGCAATATTAACTTAGAGAGTTTCTGGTGTAGAAACTTTGATCATTATAAGTGTTTATATTTTTCACATGATATCATAGTCTTGCGATATTAAGAATAATTAATCTATTGTACATTATGTGTCGCATCCTTGTAGTTGATTCTTGTTGAAAACAAAAGCTACAGCTAGCATTATCATTAGTACACTCCACACTCTACCTGTTTTCCTCGGTTTAATTCAAACCTCATCAACTCTTAAGTAGAACCATAGCTTAGAACAATTTAAAAAACTGAAGGCAAAGCCAATTTGACAAGGCTTGAAACTTGTAGAACTCACCAATATGAAAGTATGTGTAATTTTGTTCCCATTTGTACCTAACTAAAACAGAGAAAACAACTTAAATGAGAAATTTGTGCGACTTTGATTTCTTAGATATATCATATAAACCTTGTTGACACATGGTTGAGATCTTCTAGATTTCATCAAGTACTGATTGGTAGAATCAAGAGATTAGAAAAGAAAGAAATAAGGCTTTAGCTTTATGGACATGAACCATTAATAAAAATATCATAATGTTAAAGCTAAAGCTTGACTAGTATGTATATCCAACTTGATTAATTCCTTGCTCGAGGCCCTCCAAGCGAGTTGCCTCCAATGTACTCGTAGATAATGAACTCAGATCTCTGAATCCAACTTTCGAGCCATGAATCCAATGCTCATGACCCAACCTTCGTCGATAAGGCGTTCATCGTGATCACAATGAGATGCTTGCTGTGGCGATTGGACTTGTCCGAGCTCGAGCATTCGAGTTATCTGGAGAATTTCAAGGGAGGGAGATGGTTAGGCTTGGCCACGGTCCGGTCCAAACTGGCGGTTAACCGGTTAACCGGCGGTCTGGTCTAACCGGTCCCAGGTAAAGGTACATTTTTTGGTACATTTTCTGCATTTTTTTACCAAGAGAAATGTGGATCAACAACCTAGCCGGAGTAAACTGTCGCTTTCCTATTGTGTTCATAGTCTGCTAAAACCCAAGACGAAGGGATCGTTGTGGACTCTGCCCAAGCGAGAACAAATCACCTCTCGAATATAAGGAGAGGTCAGCAATGCTGGGAGCCAGTTGGTTTCCTCATCATTTTGGCGTAATCAATCATCCACTGTCTGCCATATTAGCTTCAAGCACCACATAATATCATTGCGGAAAAATATCTGAAATTCTGGAAAATGTTTGCTCCTAAAAAATGGACTGGTTAACCGGTCCACTTTTTTTCTGAACCGGTTAACCGTTAACCGGACCGCGGCCAAGCCTAGAGAAGGTCGCAGGGGCCCACTGGCCAGATGGCCAGGCATCGACGGCAGGAGAGGCGGTGGAACTCTTATCGCGTGCCCACTCTCCTTATCCGCGAGCAACAGGATTTTGTAGGGAGTTGATAGGCAGTGGGTCTCGAGACGGTGCGCGCTCGCGATTTCTCGTAGATTAATGGACGCTTTTTCGGATATCCAGCTGCTGTAATTGGAAGGCAGCCTGATTTTGCGCTGCTGATTACACATTGGGCCCGAAACGCCCTCGGCCTCTTTGCCCTTCGATTTTCGCCTCACAGTTCATTGCCTCACCTCCCGCAGCTCCGGTACTCTGAGGAATCGGATCGAAGGCGGAATTCCCACCTCGAGCGTCGAGAGCGACCATGGCAGCGATGGCCGCATGTACGCAGCAGATTGTGGGAGCGGTAGACTTCGCGGCCCGAGCGCTGTCGTCGACCAGAGCTTCCTCGAGTCGGGAATGCGTGTCGTCTGCTTGCTGCTCGAGGAAGGCTGTGATTGCCGGGGCTGCGTCGTCGTCGTCCGTGAGGATTGAGGGCTCTTCGCTCAGGGGAGTGCAGCTGGCGCTGCGGAAGAGAGCTGTGGTCGCGAGGGCCGTCGTCGGCGTGCGGGCGCAGAGCGATGTCGTGGGAGAAGATCCCGAGTTCAATGACAGCGATTACATTGTGCTGGGCATCGCCCACTGCTTCCAAAAGGACGCGGAGCAGAAGCTTTTTGACAGCTTCATCATCGAGCCCATTCCGGCTGGAGGGTTAGAGTGCATGGAGAATGGCGGAGTGACGTGCTACAAGCACGCGCACGGCACCACGCTCGGCGTGGCCTTGAAGCAGGACCCGTCGTTGCTGCCTCCGGAGTTCGCCGGGCACAGGTACTGCGAGGATTTTGATTTCAGGACCAAATGTGCGTCCAGGACCTGGAAGAGGGACCATGCTGTAGAGTTCCTGATGAACCTCGTCCCCCGAGACGGCGTGCGATCCGACTGGAACTTCAGTCTGGAAGACAAGCGAGTGCTCAACATGGAGAACATTGTCAACGACGATGACAACATCAAGCAGGACATTAGCATCGACGTCTACGGTAGAACCGCCAAGGAGGAGGAGATGTCCAGCGAGATTGCCGAGTTATTCAACACTTAAGTGTGCGGACTCGCGAGTAAACGCTTGGAAATTTCCCGATACTCTGAACTCGCGTTGCAATTCAGCGGCACACTGATTAATTTCTAGTTCCTCCGACCATGTGGAACTTGCGCAGCGCAGAGTTCATTACTTTAAAAGAAGAGCGGGCAGTGCCTCTCATATCGAACTCTTCGCAACCGGGAACCTGACGATGATGGAGCAGAAGGAATCCTAGGGCTTAGGGTTTATATTCTATTCGACCATGTCTGCTGGTCACTTTACAGGGAACTCAGCATCCCCGTCACCGGCGGACGAACCTCATGTGCGCTGCCCACTGAGAACTTAGAGCTGGATTTCTGCTAGCTTCGTTGTCATGAATGTCTGGCCTAAAGCGGGAACGTGTAATTTTAATCTGTTGAAATTTTGCCCCGGCCATGAGCCAACTAGGCATGTTTATGTACATCACCCGTGATTGAATTGAGGTTCTTTCTCTGGACTGCCTCGTGAGAAATGTTCTCAACTGTCAAATGTCTCTCCTAAGGCTTTTGTGTAGCAGCCTATGTTTCGTCGGTTTGACTGTGTTCTGATAAAATGGGTCTAGTCCTGCACGTGAATGTGATGTCGAGTGCGTCAAATGGTCCACGACTCGGTACGTGTCGAAACTAACGAACACTGTAACTCCACTCTGGCTGGCCACGCCCCTGTTTCATCAGTGCCTGACTTCGGATGGACATATTGGCGCTGCATTGCAATTTCTAGATGAAAGTGCGAACCCTTGAGCCCTCGCCAACTGGCAAACATGCGCACATCGCATGCGACTCAGCCATGAACCATGTACGTCAACGAGGAGAATCGTATTAGCAACCAAAATCTTCGGTGGATGATAGATTCTGGAATGACAAATGATAGACCAGGAAAGTGAAAATGAAACCTATCCTTAACCCACCAGTGAAATAGAGATAAACGTGCTGTCACGTCAAGTTGTTGTCTGAAGTTGAAAGTACGGGTCATTGGGACACCACCTTCAATCCTTGAGTCAGTTCATATTCACATGTCAACCACACGACAACTTCAGTTTCTCGAGAGTGTAGACACTCGTTCATTATGCCGGGACGCATGCCCGGAGATGAGAGGGGAGCCTTAAATAATAATAACCTAATCAATTGATGGTATTGGTCAGCGAAATTTCTTTTCGAAAAAGCCGGGAGGTGTTATTGACATATTCAAGTGAGAAGAGTACAACATCTTGCGACAAGAAGCGACGTCGAGAATCTATAGAAAGCGGAAAGGAGCAGACGGTGAATTCGTCGCAGTCCGATACAGAATGCCAATCCTACGAGGGCTCACGTCGGATTATCAAACGCCTTGAATCCGTAAGTCAGGTCATATTCACATTTCAACCACACGACAACTTCAGTTTTTCGAGAGTGTAGACAATCGTTCATTATGCCGGGACGCATGCCCGGAGATGAGAGGGGAGCTTTAAATAATAATAACCTAATCAATTGATGGTATTGGTCAGCGAAATCTCTTTTCGAAAAAGCCGGGAGGTGTTATTGACATATTCAAGCGAGAAGAGTACAACATCTTGCGACAAGAAGCGACGTCGAGAATCTAAAGAAAGCGGAAAGGAGCAGACGGTGAATTCGTCGCAGTCCGATACAGAGTGCCAATCCTACGAGGGCTCACATCGGATTATCAAACGCCCAGTGTCCGAGCGTGGGCAAAGTAGTCTCGAGACGTGCCGAACTATCACAGAACAGAGAGCACAGGAAGTGCAAACCAAACCCTCAAGGCGGGATTCGAGAACGAGCTCGCAGAGGTTTATCGCAGTCCCCCATCGCAGAGAGAACAACAGTTCCTTCAGCAACAAAGCAACGTCGCCGTCGCCGTCGCTTCCGGAGAAGAGGTGTGGGGCCGGGCCTACCGAGTCACTCAAAAACTCGAAGCAAATGTGCAGGGTTTCTCCAGCAAATACAAATCGGGGTACTCCTGCGCTCCATGATTTCCCTCTGATTTCACCCTCCTCTTCGGAAAGGAGGCTGGTTGCAAGCCAGTCCGGAGGCGGTTCGGAAAGCAGCCAGCCAGCCAGAAAGCCAGCCAGGACAGACAGTCTTGCGGGACAGAAGGTGTCTTTGTATCGGACCCAGCAAAGACCTTGCTTCTTGTTTTACCCCTTCTCGTCCCTGAGCGAGCACTACGGTGGCTCAGAGGAAGGTTGGTCTGCTCACCCAATCTGGCCTTACGAGCCTACAGTTCGAACTCACGGATAGGTGTTGCTCGCAGACGAGCCAATTTCCGACCACCTGCTCCACTCCCGGAGCACTTTGATGCCAGACGTAGGGATGATGCATTAGGAAACTGCTCAGACTCAAAAGAGTGTTGTACGACGGAAGGGTGTTGCCGAGCAGAGCAGTTCGTGATCAGGCTCGCTGGCATTCGAGTAGTGCTCACGCTATAAGTGCAAAAGCTCCGAATTTTGATCTTCTCACCGATGCTTGTTAACTCGTAGAGTGCGTAAGTAAATCAGACTGCGTGGAATTTGGCCTGTCGCGATGGATGCACGGGGAAATGGAGGTGGAAAGTGTTGGTCCTGGTTATGAGGCCAGTGAGTAAATAGCAGAGAAGGTGGGTTCTGGTGAATTCGTGAATGGGTTTCGTCCCTGTTATGGGACTAATGTGCAATGTCTCGTCTACTTGTGACAGGATTTTATGACATTGCTTGAATTTCAAGAATTCTTAAACGGTCGATGCGTGAGTTCGACCTTTGTGAAATTCTCAGACCTCCATCAAGTCGGGTGCATTTGACGAGAGAAGAGACGTAGAACAAAAGCGTAGAAGAACATTCGCCGGCCTCTGTAGTTTTCACTCAATTTTTTCGAGCTGATGGCTGAATTTGCTGGAGGAGGAGGAGATCGATTGGGCAGATACCCCGCTCCTGCCGGGTGAGACATCATCTTCCCTTTAACCACTATTTGTGAACTGAAGTTTACTCTAGACGGTTCTTGGACTTTCAGCAAGATGACATGATCGGGCTTCAGCCCTAGAGCAGACATCGCTCAGAATCGAAGCGGTGATCGGACTATTCAGCTCCAGCCCTAAGACCCCGTCCGATACCTTCCGCGGTCAAGGACGTGAGGAAATTTTCATACGTAACATCTGTCTTTCTTGTGCGTTTGCTTCCAACTTAAATTGCTGCTGACAACTACAGAGCTGACCGTGCCGCTGCTAGTCACACGTTACAGAACCGTGTCTTCTTTCTTCCTTTCAATGACAGGATTTTCCATCCGCATTGCTTTCCTAAAATTTAAGCGAGAATCTTTTGTTTTTTGGGCGCTGCTTTTTTTTTTTTTTTTCTTTTTCTTTCACAAAATGATTCAGTCGAAGCGCTGCGATTACTGCTTGCAGAAGCCAGTGCATTTCTACAGTATGCTAGTGAAATCACGTTTTGAAACTCAGTACTCTCTTCCTTTGGGAATCTAATCCTGCCATTAGAATCAGGATAACATAGTCACAGTATTCTTGTATTTGGTCGCATTTTTGGTTGAGGGACATTATATCTGTCCTATGCCTTCGTGTAAATCATCTATGTATAACATTCGACGTCTCCATCTTTACCGAAGTAACTGAATAACCTGCAGTCCTCCAAAGTACTTTGGTTGAAGGCTAGACCTTTAGTACGTTGGATCGTGTGGTTATCAGAAGACAAAAGGTGGAGAGATAATACTGAGAAGTCGTCATTGATCATTGACTGACACCGTTGGTTGGACAAATTCCTGCTGGATTTGATTCATGTGCTTCTACCATTGCGCGTCAAAAGATTCTCAAGCTCGTTCGATATATTGAAGCCCCTCCTTGTCATGCACGTTGTTTCTTTCATTTATCGACGTTTAATGGTTTCAATTTGGATGTTGCAGAGGCTTGTCCTTGCAGGCATTCCACGTTTTTGGCAGATTTGCTAGGCTCCTATCAGTCTATGGACTTTATCAGTACCTTATTGGTGCCAAAATATCTGTGGTTGTATTCATGTTTGGGAGTCTTTTGGGATCAGCAGCAGTGTTTTTCGCCATTCAAAAGCCCTGGAAGGGACGGCCTCTTTCTCGATCTCAGGTAGTCTAGAAACTGCTTTGATGGAGTCAATTTGAGATTAGTAATTTCCTGTCCTTACAGATGAAAGCTGATGAAAGTGGAGTTTTTTCTTCAGATTGTACCTACAGCTATCAACGGAGGAGTATTGGCGCTTTCGCTTGTATTGTGGGGTAGGGGACTTCAAACTTGTGGTCCTGTGAGGTGAGTTTATAATATCGTAGAATGCATTGAGAATTGTAGAATATACCTTGTATTAACAATAGTCTTGCTGACAGTTATTTTGGTGTCTGACTCAAAACACAGGACTATTTTAGCTGAATATGTTGGAGCTGTTCTTGGTGCAATTTCGACGTTGTTATTTGGTCGAGGTGGCCATGCTGCGAGAAAAGTGAGTTTTTTATGTTCAAAAAAGCTAGAGATAGTACCAAAATATATCTACAGGATTGACGGCATGCATACATCAATATGAGTCATTTTGATAGTAAAACATAACTCATCAAAGTCCCAGGTTCTTAAAGATGCCTTTTAAGAAGTATGATAACATGGCTTTTCCTGTGCTGCAGGTTTGTGGTCTGATAGCGATGCTTGCCGCCTTCTATTTTCTCTCTCAAGGATGGGCTATGGCAACCTACTCACCTTTTTATATCCTACATCGATCCTTCAGTCGCATGCCGTAACATTGAAAATTTAGAAACTTTTCATCTGTGTAAAGAACCTTATCTTGAACTCGTAGGTCGAGGTCTCATTGTCAAGTATCCTGATTGACACAAGTATTGCAACCTTGACCTCGACTTTACCTCTTGATCCCAGCGCATCTACAGATGAGACCATGCATGAGAAAGGTCACGTGGGTCTACACTCTATGATTGCTCCAATATTTTCTGGTCTCTTGGCAGCTCTCCGCAGAATTATTGCGCGTCGTGTGTCACTGAAGGTTCGACAAAGCACTTTTTTCTTCTTGTACTTATTTTGTTTCTTTAAATACTTTTGGCTCTAACCTTGAGAAATGACTTTGTAACTATTGTGAGAAGGAGCTGATTCTGAAATGTTGAGCATCATTTTAACTAGCATGTAGTCTGTCACAGAGTAATTTCATTTTATCTCCTCGATGCTCCAACTTTTCACTCGGATACGTTTGTTCAAGTTCTGTCTTCAACTGTACTTGCCGCTGGACTGCTCTTAAGATATCATGATGCAGACTTCCTTGTGGTGTATTTTAACGTAAAGAATTATCAAATGATTGGAGAATTGGACGGGAGAGGTTTGGAGATCACACGAATAGTCTGATTCTCATTACTCACTTAACTTTTGGATCTGCAGAGTCAGTCGAAGAAAAGGCTTCACGCAATCACAGTGGCTTCAGCCACTTGTTTCCTATTTCCCTTCGCCATGACCACACTAGCCATGGTGAGGAGTTTCTTCACTCTCCTTATACTTGTTGATGAGGCTATTTCATGAGCTTGTTTGGATACGATTTTGGTAATACTCAAATCTTCCGAATGAACGTCGATTCCTAATAGCTGTGTCTTTTATTCTTAAATCACATCACATCCTCAGAAGATGGAAGTCGGAGGGTAAGAGGTCGGATAGTTTGTGCTCATGGTGTTATTTTTACTGACATGGATGAGATCTGGTTGAGGTCCAGAGTGAAGCTGGCAGCAGATCCGACTATCATGGTTCGGCAGTCTGGCCATATCTCAGCATGATTTTTTTCGGCATAGTGCTGATGTACTACGTGGATGCTCTTATTGAGGACAGGTATTATACACTCTACGGCTTTATTTCCATTTTTATTACATTTCTTACAATGAAATCTTTCTATGTGTTCAGTAAGGACGATTATTATGTATGCAATTTTACGATTATTTTGACTTCTATGTGGTACTTCATATGTACAAGCTCACCCCGTTCACATGTACAGGTTACACATTGTGCCTTCTTCGCCTCAACATCTGGTAGTCAGCGCTGGGTGTATCATCGTCCTTGAGTTCCTCTACAGAATGGACTTCTCTCCTTTGGGTTTCATGTGGTGCTTGACATGGTTAGGATCAGGTATGTTCTTAGGTATTTTGTATTTCGTAATTTTCAGGTTTTTGATGCTTTCTTTTTAATCGGTGAAGTATTATTGTCTTATGATAAATTGGTGGTTAACTTAGTATTGAAGGTTTTATCACGATCGATATTACTCTGTACTTGTTGCAGGTATATATGTTGCAACTACAGTTGAGAGTAGATTTCGAAGAGATTTAGACCCTGGAGAAGGCCAAGACTTTATGAGAGAAAGTCGCTCTGAGCTTGCTCTTTCATCGTTGCCGTCATAGTCAGGTAACTAAATCCATGGTCTGAGTACTTGCTTGCTAAAAAGTTGGTGCTTTGTATTATGGATATAGATTTGAACACATTGCAAGCTCCCGCAAGTACGTTTCGTTGTTTGTCTCGTTGGATGGTATATAAATTTGAATATTTCCTGCAATGAACTTGCACGCAAGTTATAGACTCGTGGTCGAAAGAGAAGTCGAGAGACGCCCTGGTGGTGACTTGTCTGTGATTCCACTTCACTAGATGTCATGAATTCTCAATATCGGGCTTTCAGTTTTTAGTTTTGATTATTGCAAATGTGCATCCCAATGATCATGATGTGCAGGTTGTACTGGAAACTAACATGATTAGTATTCGTCCTGCTGTTTCAGTTCTCAGGTCAGAGCAGGGCATATTTTAAGGAATGAAGTCTGTAGTGAGGATATAACGAATCATTTCCTGTCCTGCACCAAAGTGTGTGACATTTGCACATATAGATTGGTACATCTCCCCACCAAATAAGTAGATTGACTGCCTCCTATGCAATAGACATTTTCGGTCAACTAAGAACATATAAATAGCATGGTTAAAGATTCTATCATTACATAAAGCCTTTTTTTACTGCACCGAGATCTAAAATGTGGTAGTTAAGCATGGATGTTACCCCAGATGCTAATATTACAATCGCATATTTTGTCGTATACGTGCAGGTGGAGATCATTGTTGCAGAATTTTCACTAGATGTTACTTTGCTTATTCATTCATTAAGGGAATGTACAATCTTTTGGCTACACACTTCATCCTGTACGTGAATAAAATATACTTTCCGATATTGTTGTGCAAAAGTCACGAATGGACAAAATATTACAGGCAAACTTTGACGGATTTTGCCAGATTACATTTCACTTGCCTTCGCATATTCCTTCTTCCGCCTTGAAAGATATGACATCTCAAGTTCTAAGTCCGGGCCGCATATCTTTTGAATGTATATTGAGACGTTTTCTGCATATAAGAAAGTGCAGGACAAGTCTGCAGTGGCTGTCCAGCAAGTTTCAGCTTAATCCCAGAGGCTGCTCCCGTAATAACACTGAAACCCCGAAGACAAAGTATCTGCCATGGTCGTGTTAGGCTTATAAGCTACAGAGGTCAGGGTGGTAAGGTTGCAGGAAGCAACCAGGGGTTTTTACGCCTCAATTTCAATGTTCCGCATCAATTCGAAGCTTAGCAGTGACTTTCATATGAAAGTTACCAACTTAACTGAACAAAGTCCGGTGTATGAGATTTACCTTTTTAGCAATCGCAGGCACAGTTTGACTTGTCGTGTGAATAAAACAAGGATGACATGCGGTAATTGTTACAAGCAGTGAACTGACAAATAGACGTCACTGGTTGAGTATCGATGTCTAAATTTGGACTCCAACAAAAAACATTGGAAATATCACATCCAACGGACGAAGAAAATTCTTGCACCCACAATCAACATCATCAGCATACTGAACGCTCGTACAAAATAAGTAGGGATAGGTACGTCCCCAGATATTGCTTAAGGTTATAAATTACAATGGGTTGATAAATTCTGTCGCCCTTAACCCTCAACAACTTTCACAGCAGACCTGCGCATAAGAAACAAGCCCGGGATCAGACCCAATAATATAGGCCAATCTCTTTTCACAAAGGACAAAAATGGGACTAGCGCAGAAACAGAGACAGGAGAAAAAAGTGTGGCTGCTGGGATTCGAGCCCAGGTCTCCACGGCCACAACGTGGAATTCTTACCACTAAACTACAGCCACTTGATGAACGTCAAAGAATTCATTCGGACTAGAATCGTCCCAGTTCATTCTAACTTACCCGAATGGAGACTGCTTGATACTCAGAAGCTCCACATTGAACTGCCATGGAAGGACAATGGACAGAGAAGAGTTCTTAGCTGGAAAGGCGAGCGCAGTCATAATTTCAGAGCTATGAAATCTCTCCGTCGTCACAAATCATCGCGGAAAGCGTCCACGAAGGTACCTCGATTGTCGCGTTTGGTGGAATTTCTTGTACACCTTTATCGCCATACGCGAGTTCTGGGGGCAAAATCAGCATCCGCTGCGCCACCGAAATTTGGTATAAGCACAAGGAGAGTACGTAGGACCTCGTGAGCATGAAGATAGCTACGGGCTTTCACTTTCAGCTGTGATTTTGTTCTTACCTGACCGCCCACTCTCATGCCTTCAACCCCAAGATCAAGACCCTTGAGCACAATTCCGTAATCTGAAGCACCGACATCAAATCCATAGGGCTGCAAAACTCATGCACTTCTGCCATGGATCAGCTCAACAGTGTGATTGATAAAATCTCCAAATTATATCTAGAGCTTGGAGTCTAGGCTCAGAATCAAAGATTGTTACAAAGCTAAGGAAATTGAGGGGCTTACCGATCCTCCGGTCACTCCCAAGCCTTGTCTGCTGGTCTTGAAAGTGATTCCCTTCCACTTTGCGACGTAATGAATCTGTTGAAGACGGATTCACGTAAACAATGACAAAACTGAGAAACTCTGTCCAATCGACCAGAAGAAGCCAGCAAATGGGATCTCCGATCCTACACTCTTGTGAGGGATGGGGACTAAGGACAGACCGCAACTCGCGCGCCCTTGACCGCAGTTGCTCCACTTCCAACCTTGATATCGTAATACCTGAACGAACCAACAATCAATCAATCAATCATGCGCAAGTTTCATGTCCCAACACTCGAGAGTTGGTAGGTGCAGCATTCATGCACAGATGCATGAGTGCTGCGACAACGCCAGTGCCATGTCGAGGTAGTGAGGCATCTGACATGTTTGAGCTCTTCACAAAGGCGCGGAAAGAAAGATACGGATCTCAAATTCTGAATCTGCAAAAACTACGAAACATCGAAGGATCTCGGATTTTCCATATCTTGCTGCTCTCTTATCGTTTCAACTCCTTGAACATGATCCGATAAGTGTCAGTGTACTCACTTCAAGCCGCTGGGCAGAGTTGTGAATTCAGAAGCCGGAATCTGCTCTGATCTTAACTGCACATCAGGATAAAGAACGTCTCAGGAGACTGACGCATGAATGAGTGCAGAAGAGTATATCAAAGCTTACAGTAGCATACGACTGACACATTTTACAAGAGTTAACTGATTTGATCCTGCACTGCAGAGCCAGGACTATTTGATAGGCAAATTAGAATTGAGAGTAGTTGAACGTGGTAAAGATTTGGAATATTTCTCACTCATCATAAGCTCCATAACATGCAGATTGGCCAAAGATTCGTCTCAAAGCAAAAACTTCTCACCGCTCTCTTGCTTGTAGATACAGCTAACGCATCTTCGACCGAGAAGCTGTTGTTGGCAGCTGCAACGATGAAAGAACAAGACTCTCAGCTGCTAATGCGAGAACTCCATCAGCAGAGTATATAATTTACATTACCGAGGAACATAATTTATTACAAGGTTTCTGAGGGTTTTATGTTTCGATTGTAGGAGAAGTATGAATGACCCTTCATGCCGTGAAACAGAGAGGCAGAGCATACTTCTACTCTGTGTTGCAGAATCGTAAGATTTCTTCAAAACTTTATGAAACGTCCCGCAAGGGTTCATGATGTGAAGGAGAAACTGCAAGAAAAGTGGTCAAAATCTACATCCAGTTGTCCCAGAAGAGGAGAATTCGAGATGATCAGATTCACAACTGGGAGGGAGGAACAGGCAGACTTCGTGATCAGGCTCACCACAATCCGTTTCCAACAAGATGACGATTTTCCAGAAAGATTTTCATAACTCAACTCACCAATCAAAGCACCAACAACGGCTCCCACAGTCAATTCTCTTCGAGAAGACGTGATCGCCTCGAGTTTCGTCTGGTCACTGGCCATGGACACAACGGGGGCCGCCGCAGTGCTAGAGGACAATCGTTTTGCAGGAATGTGCGTATTGCTCTGGAGCTTTCCTGTTCGGCAGACGCAATTATTGTTGTCAGACGAGCGCTTTTTCAGATGTACTGGACAAGAAGTCGAGCCCGAATTGGTGGGCTCTGGTGCCGAGGGCAAAAAGGATTGGCCTTCATTCTCACCACACTCTGGTCAAGTGAGCAGGCATGCCAGAATCTCAGCTCACCTGAGTTGCTCAGGGCGGAGCCAGACGAAAGCGAAAGGAGGGAACCCGAGGAAGCTGGGGCGCGCAGCACCGACAGAGACGACGCCATTTCCCCTCTCCACCAAATCTTCCCACAAACCAGCAGATTTCATCATCCCACCACAAGGACTCAAGACCGTCAAGAGCAGAATGATCAGTACAAACGAGCGAAGCATTGCTTCCCACACAATTCACTGCATCAAATCAGCTCACGCGGCGACCCCGGAGCCTTCTCCCGCTACTCCCACGAGGATCGTGGCGGATACAAATTGCAAAATATCAGACGAGACGCGCTCGTTGAGCTGAAATCGGAACAGATTTGCCGAGGCCATCTCGACGCTGTGGCCGGGCGAGGGACCACGAGAGTTACTAACCTTCGATGAGCTGCCAAATTGGAAGATTTAAGTCCAAATTTGACAATTGCAGTGACAATTGCAGTGCCCCGGCGACTCGTCAGCTTCCGTCGAGTGGCAGTGACAGTAACCGGGATTCAGTTGCGAGGCGATGGGCTCGAGCTGTCGAATTCGGATGAGGCGAGTGCCAGCTGGCGCGTCGTGATTGGGCGGCAACGCGTCGACCTGGACCATACATTTAACTCCGACCAAGCCCACTAGAGCGGGAGTTCGAACTCTGATTCTAACTGTGGTCGGAGGCTCGGTTCATTTGTGGAGATGTTTGATTACTGACAGAAAATCCGGTAATGTAGCCAAAAGGGTAGTTTGGGTGCAGTTGTGGATAAAGAATCAAGAAGTATATTTCACCGAGTAAGATTAATCTATTGGAGAATAGTGATTAATTTGCAACTGAGTGTTATACATTTTACATGAGTTTGATGTAATCAGTGCTTTTAAGAAAGATTAAAATACCTATACCCACTTAAAGCAATGCGGAATTGTTTAAGAGAGTTTTTTAATTTGCAATGCTCAGGATGATTGTGTTGGAGCATTGTTAAGCATTGAGAATCATACGTTTATGAACATGAAATGTATATGATACATGAAGAACTAGATCTAACATGAGAGATGGGTGAGTTGACTAGTGAATAATTATGTGATATTTTAACTTAGCATTCATTTAGACAAAAAGAATCAACAAGCCATGATATATATAAAATTATAACTAATTTTACTCTTGCTCCAAAGACAAGGAAACGATTTTTCAGAACTAGAAGTAAGTATTAGAAAGTTTTAAATTGCAAATCTCGGTTTACAACGAAAAGTGAAGTAGTAACTGTTTGATTGAGAACACTGATCCCCAGCATGTAGACTTCTGTGGATGAAAACTAAACAGAAGGTCATGATCATTTTCATCATGGAAAAATCTATTCCTGTTTCTGTCAGCAATAAAGTGATTGCAAGGTAAAGCAATTGGATCTGTACACAATCAACCTCCAAGTATAGACAACATTGAATATCTATTTACATGGAGGTACTAGGTGGCTACATTACATTCTAAATTTGCTTGATTGAAAACGATTCTATGGAGTGATCAAATCCTGAGAGTTGATATCAACAGTTTGGTGCCTAATCACCTATATTTGGTGTGGACCACCATTAAAAGCTTTCTAGGATGAAATATATATTTCTTTAATCTTGCCACTGATGGTAAGGACATGAACAACTATGTAGAATGTGATATCCTACTTGTGCTCAACTTCGTAAATGACAATTCTGACACTCCGATGTTGACATTGGGCTTATTGTTGACATGCACCACAAGTGGAGATGTAATTCGCTGGGCTAGATCAAGTAATGGAAGGGCAATTTACATACATGCAAGATGAAAGGTGTGACGTCTACTATAACACCTTGTCTAGCACGGTAATGGAGAGGAGATGTAAAAGACTACCACGACCAACATTCAGGATTGTCAGTCCACGTTGCTTTCGATCGACTGAAGTTCAGAGTGCTTGATACTGGAGTGGAAACTCGATTGCCTGTTGATGTGAGAAGTGTTCTTAGAATACATGCGCCTAATTTACTGTGGCACTTTTCATTCTTTGTGCACCATAATCTGTACACTGGAATCAAAATAGATGTTGGTAGAGGCTTGAACTGAAACTCACAACATGCTTCACTATCTACACTTGAAAGACAGACATGACGAGAAGGAGAATGAGAATGAACTCATCGTCTCCGACTGCCGGTGCGCGTAATTTACAACATGCCCAGAGGGTTCAGTAGGTGCCATCAGCCAAAAGGCTTCTTTCATTCAGCGGCCGCCAGCGGTATGGCAGTCGTTCTTCAGCCGACGGTCTAGTCACTGTTTGCTGCTCTTGCACCTCTCGCAACATCTCCAGAGCTTCGTCGATGCAAACGTCGGATTGCCCAGATTGACGAGGAAAATCTGTACAACTCCTGTCCGGTTGCAAACCACCCCTGCGTGGGCAGATGGAGTCAGTCGTCAGTCCATCAGGTACACGCTGCTGCTGGGCGTGAAGACTGGAAACGAGAGGGACAGACAGCAACATGACGAAGACGAGGAGAGAGGACCTACTGCTTAGAAATATCGTAACGGGCTGGAGTTAGGTACTTCTCGACTGTCAGCTTCAGGCCACTTCCATCGTCCATCGGAAAGAAGTACTGCATTCATGACAGTCAGCAGCACATGACTGCAATATGTCAGCATGTTCAAGGCCGGTGAAAGGTGTTATAAGCTCTGAATTGATTCAAGTTGGCAGTCGATGATAGCGGCATCTGCTTCGTTAGATAGATAGATAGATACCTGAACAACTCCTTTCCCAAAAGTTTTCTCTCCGACAACAACCGCTCGATGGTTGTCGTGCAATGCTCCTGTCAGAACCTACATACCAGGAAACGCAACTCCGGTACGTGAGGATTTCTGAACCCCGATCGGTTCAGTTTCTCAGGCAGAATGTAGTTCAGACACTTCACTCGATGGTCTGAAATCATATCGGCTAGCACTGAAGATGCACATCACATACCTCGCTAGCGCTTGCACTGCTGCGATTTGTGATGATTGCCAGTGGAGCATGAGTTAATGTACCAGGGTGCTTGATAAAAATTTCTTTCTGTTGCAACACATGGTCCAAATCAGACAACACTTGCATTATCCAACCTTGACAGCACAGAGCATGAGGAAACAAGTGGCTTGCAGGAGTCCCTGATCAAACCACACCATTGCACAACTTAGTTCATTGCCTCTCCTCCCAACATACGACCATGACCGAGAAAGGAAACAACCTACCGGAAGATTGTTCACAGAATAGACGAGGTCTTCAACACCCCCCACGCTGCTCCGTACAGTTTCTGTCACATCGCACCCTTGGCAGTCTAGCCACAATGCCTGGGGCCAAAAAACGGGAGTGAGGTCAATCACTGTTCGATTATTACAGAGCAGTCAAAGTGTGAGTTCGTTTTCACCACATTAAATGCTACTCCTCTTGTGCTAGCGAATTTTGGACAGCATAGCGAAGCAGAGACGAGAAATCTTACGGCCATGGCAACAGCTTCTTCAAATACGCCACCCGGGTTATTTCTCAGATCCAGAACTGCAGGCAACGTGGAACAAGAGTTAACGTTTGATAGCAAAAAGTGCGTTGGAAATGAAGTTTCATCACACAGCATCCAAGGCGCTTGCCGTCGGGAATTACAGGACACTCACTGTAACCGTCGACACCAAGAGCTTCGCCTTGCCTGATGGCTGCTGCCATCTCCTTGGTACCTTCGTGGGTGAAATAGTGCAGCCGCATATACTCGAGAACTCGCCCATCTCCGGCATCTACTAATCTTGTTCTCAAAGGAGGTAATGGCAATGCTCGTCTCTCCAAGACCACCTTTCGAACGGAGTTTCCCGGTTGTAAGCCAGTCACTTCCAACTCGACCTGCGAGGATGAGGAAACGAGCTCAAACATTTGCTCCAGTCCTCTGCATGACATCTTACTGTCATTAAGTTAGCAGAAATTAGAATCCTGTGAGGTACAGAGGAACAGACCGAAGAGCCAGCTGGGCCACGTAGGCGATTGACTGCTTCCTCGGCTGAGAGAGAATCGACTGGTTCTCCATCGACGCGCAGAAGACGTTCTCCTGGCAAGATTCCAGCCTGCAGTCACATCCGAGTTGAATCAATCTTTTCAAACTGTAGCGTGTGATGAAACGAGTTAACTCAAGACGTGCTAAACTTTAGCCAAACTTGCTGATGGCAGATTATTTGCCATCAGACTGGACGTACCTCTTCAGCCGGAGAACCGGCAAAAGGAGAAACGATGGTAAGACCACCACTGGGCGACTTCTTTCCAAGCTGCAGAACAATCTACTGTAAGAACTTTTGCTCGTAATAATGCTCGTCAGGAGTTCCAGTCACACGTTTGCAGTACTCTCTGACGTTGCACCATATCTATCGTAAATCTAAGGGTTTCGAACAAGCTGCTCGCATGTATGATAAGAAAATTTTCTATCAGAGCTCACAGAAAACGCGAACATGTGTGAAGAAGTCGTGATTCTTCGTTGAACTATGTTCGTATCTGCACAAGGGCTCTCGAGTAATCATGAAACAAAGGTAAGAAGAAAATTGCTCAGGTAGACTTCGTACCGCAACACCAACTCCGGTATACTGATAAGTCAGGTACTTGATTTCTGAAGGTATTGGACGACGGATGGCAAGGCGATATTGCTGGGGATTCAGAAACGCACTGTAGCGGTCCCCTATGCTGTCCACCATGTTCTTGATCACTCTGTACCTGTAGGGAGGGCACACCTCATACCCCTTACTGGTCTGAACCACGGAGGCAACTTCCATCGAGACCAGTTGGCACTGCATGCGATGAACTGGAGATGCCACGCAGAGAACAGCACGACATCTGAGCCAGCATAATGAGAGTGAGAAAGCGACCTACGTTTCCTTTTTGGTGCGGAGAAGTCCACCAGTTGTCGACAGACTGTCATAGAGTTTACCAGCCCAAGCCGATTGACTGAAGCTGCACACACCGACTTCAAACATCATACATACAAACTACAGAAATGTACAGGCTTCTTCACAGATTTTAGAAGGGATGGCCTAGTAAGCAGTGGAGCGGCAGTTCCTGGTGAGTAATACCGAGAACATCAATTCACATCAACCTTCTGCCTATCCATACACCAGAAAATTTCTCATATGCTAGCGGAGGAAGACCAAGTCTGGCTGCTTTGTGTTGCAAACACGAGCCATACAAGTGAGTCTTCGATTTAGGTTTGAATGCTAGATACCTGCCGTACTGGTCGTAGTACTCCTGCAATTTAACAGAATATCTACCAGAGTTAGATTAAAACGCAATAATGCATCGCTTTTGAATATCATACACGATGCCGAGATGAATCCCGACTTTCCCTGCTGCTAGCAGTCCTTGCTTACACCTGACATCTTATAATCCCATACGAGCTGCATACATTATCGATAAGACTGAAACTGTACAAATTTTTTCGACGATATGCATTCTTACATTTGAAACGGTTTGCCAGACCTGCTCCAGTAGCCTGCAAGAAAACGATCACACTGGAATCGCAATCAGGAGATACACATACGAGTGCGGTTCAAGAATAACTCTTCTCGAATCATGCGACAGACAAGCATCCGAAAGCATCTGATTCAATTATCCCTAGATGTCTAAATAATGGCGCGAATGATCTTCACTCCACTGCAATCGATTCGCTCCCGAGGAAACCATGAGATGTCCGGTGACCTCCTCCACTGGGCTCAAGCAAGAAATCTCACCTTCGATTTTTGGTGCACTCGGGACAAAGCTTCTCCTCTGCTTCCACTTTGTCCAGAAGCTCATCGTATTGTCGCAGCTTTGTCATGCCTACCCATGCATCCTCTGTAAACATGGATTCCCTCTTGGTGGTATCATCACGCCCTTGCAAAATTTGCCCGTAAGTCACTCCTAAGCTATCCCCTGCACCTTCATGCACATACTCCCTTTTGGCTGAAAACATCCGTAGCCCTGAATGAGACGAACTCCATCTCCTGATTCTAGCATTTGCTGGCTTCCCTAGAAGGTAATTCAAGTGAGGCATCCCCCGGTCGGCGGATTTTGCAGTCGGCACTCTTTCAGACTCGCCCACATTATCCAGAGCCGAGCTCATGTGCTGCGGGTGAGTATAATTCTCCAATTCACCATGATTTCCTTCGCCTGTTGAGTATCCATTCCAACATGCGTGTCCCGGCTCTGCACCCAACGGAAGAAGACACAGTCCCAGCAACGATCCAGCCACTACAGCCTGACCAAACTGTTTGGCAGCCTTGCTCAAAAGCTCCTGTGCCGGCTTCGATTGTTCTGAATTCCTACAATGGATCGATGAGACCACCACCACCCCCAGCCTTCGACCCTTGGAATTCCTGGAGATGATGAGAAGCTCCCCTCTGCTCGCCCATCCTGCTCGGAGACCACTGTGCGATGGTAGAATTGCCGAAGGCGGAGGTGCTGGGAAACAGCACTTGAAGCGAATTTCAAAGGCGAGAGGCATGGCCACCCAGTCGAGTGAGTATTTGCACCGTATTAGGTGTTCTGGCCGGATTCGGATGCGACACCTGAATCAGCAATTCACGGGACTGTGAGAATTTCGTTCATTGCAACAACATTGCTCCTCTTGTATTCACTGCGCAAGCCACTCGGATGTTACAGGTCAATCCACTCGCACTTCCCGAGCTGGCTTCCATCACTGCTCTCCGTCGAATTTGCAGCCAGAGTCTGGAACTAGAGCCTTTCGCATTTGGCCCGGCGCCAAGCACATACGGCTACCCGATGCTCTATCGCTCCGTCTCTGCAGTACCATGCATGCTCTGCCCTGAGTCCCATTGTATACAAAATCGTACATCTCCTTCCACACCTTCCGAGCTTTTCCTCGTCCCGGAGTCCCGGAGTCCCGGAGATTCGCTTACATGCTGAGACCTACACAAATCCCGCCACGATGTCGAGAGAGGTCAGAATTCCATTTCCTCGTGGAGGACGATGTCATGATCAATGACTGATAACTTTTCTCTTATTCCGTATCATCGCTGCTGATCTAGGCTCATTAGTTGTCAGAAAATCCATCCCAGCACGAGAGCCTCCGGCGATCGGAACTCTGTGACAGTAGACTCGAAGAGTACACGTGCGGCTTATCTGAGATCCAGGGGCTTGAATCTTTTGGCTCATGGTAATACCATGATGGTATGCATGTCCATGGTACCGGAACCTTTCCGGGACCACAAGGCAGCAGCTTGTTACTCGCTCGGTTGGATGCTGAGCCTTGGAATCGTGACCGGTGTTCTCGATTTCAGACATCCAGACCTTGAAAGATCGCACACTCCAACACCCTCGTGCCACAGAAGCGTCCACGTCCTGCACTCCAACCAACTGGACCCGTAAGATCCCGGCGTCGAAACTGTGGGCCCCCCTGGCGACTTTCGTAGCCCATTGATTGCGTTTGGAATCTTGTGAAGTTGTACTGATCTCGTCGTCGTTGTGGTAGTGGTAAAACTTGGACGATCATGTTACACTTCTATCGTGCACTGACATATACATATAAAATGACGAGGAGAGGAATTCACGGTTCCTCCTACTTTTTCTCCACTCTCTCGGTCCTGATCGATCACATTCATAACACCAGGTATCGAGAAGCATGCACACTCATTTGATTCGCGCCACAAGCGATTTGTGGCGAGATGTCAAAAGAACCTTGTTGGATTGGAGTTCACGGAAAATTGCTGGTAATAATAATGATGCCGTTTCGCGAAGATAACATAAAGCAAATGTAAACATACTTCACTCGTCCAGGTCGGGGAGTCAGCTAGTCAGTCGAGTTTCCCCCAGTATCTAATTTGCGTCTCGAGCTAACGTGCTCGTTAGCTCGAGATGCAAATTGAAGTGCATGGAACTCCCGAAATTGGCACGGATAGAGGAATGGCAGAAAAAGCTCAAAAAAACTGCTAACTCAAAATTGTGATTGTGGTTGATTCTTCGAGACCAGGAAATTGGAGTTTCCTGGTCTCGAAAAATCAAAGACAATCACGATTGTCAGTCGTACAGTGACCGTGAAGGTGGGATGGATGCTCGAGAAACATGGGCGCCATCCGGACTCTTTCAGACTAAAGGTGCCCGAGCGCTCGTGGAAAGTTCGAGGAGCGTCAGCCTCCGCGCCTGCCGCGGTTCGGGTTCTCTGCTTTCCTCGCATTCGAAATTCGCATGTTTCTTTCCGAGTTCCGATTTCGTCGGAGAAATTCGAAATTCGAAGCGCTTCCGCTCCTGTCCGGGATGTACCACAATTGAACCGAGAAGGGCTGCCAAGATCATGGCTGAAATTTTAATGACTCCTGACAATCATTAACTGATTGGAGTCAGACTTTCGATCTCTGCACCTCAACCGCAATAGAATTCGCAGTTGAAAAAGACAAGATCTTGCTTTTGGAATCTTGTCTCCGTCGTTTCATACTTATCAATAGACTGGATCCTGTGCTAAGATTACCAGTTCTCCTTATAAGCCTGAGACATTTTTCTCAGTCAGGCAGCCAGTGTTTTGGTCGTTAAGAGACCGAATGAGTAACGTAGCTCGGAAGCGAAGAAGATCTCCTGACGAAAGGAAGAAAAATCGGGCCTAACCTTTAAATTATTATGAACTTGTCCAAAACTGAACCTCAATTTTACATCAATGGATTTGCAGGAAACAGTTAGCTCCCCCAATTTGGGGAACTCCGTCGCCTGTAAAAAAATGCCCTCAGAAATTTGGCCTTAATTGGATTGACTGGATTCGGAAGATGGCGACAGCTGTAATATTTCAAGCACTCTGCTCAGCAAGGTTCACATTTCCAGGACAGTGCCTACAGTCCACCACTCGCTCCATTTGTGTCACTTAACTTGGGACAAATCTACCTGTTCGATTAAGTTCATTCAATTACTGCTAATTCCGCATCTATGTCAAGGAGAAGGGGACGACAGAGACGGGAATGGAGACCCTATGGCCTTGGTTTCCGGTCCAAGTGATTCTTCCGAACTTGAAGGATTTCTGGACTGATGTAGTTTTGATGGCGAATTTTACAGACACTGAGGCACCCGGGGCGATGGTGAAAGTGGTAGGAGTGGCAGTCAAGCTCGTTCCCGATGGTACTGAAATGGTGGTGGTGTAGGTCTCGCTGATGGAACCCACGCTGGTGAGTTTGCGGACCACGTTTCTGGTGCCTTGCAGCTTGGCGATGGTGATGGACGGGGTGTTGAGGTCGGACGGCTTCGAGGCGGAAGTTGTGTTGCACGCTGTTCCCGTGATCGACAGGACCATGGATGGAGTGACGCCCTTCACCGAGCAGATGAAGTTGATGTAATCCTGATGAACTGCAAGCACGCACCAGCCACAGACATGAAAGCATAGAGTTCAGTATGGTGAATCATGGAGGTGGACATGAAACAGGTCAAAATCGAGGTGCAGTGAAAATGCGAAGCTCACCGATGTCGAAAATGAGCCCGGGGTTGAACGCGGCGGTGGGGTTCAGAAAGCCGCCGCCCATGTCGAAATTTGTTGCAGCGGACAGGCGCTTGCTGTCGTCCTGGGCTTTGATGGCGGTCCCATCGCTGCCCGTCAGAGTCGCCGTGGTGACTATGGCGGAGTGGATGGCCGCGACGCTCCACGACGGGAACTTTTGCTTGAGCAACGCCACGACGCCCGACACGTGCGGCGCAGCCATACTCGTTCCCGATAGAGTGGCAAAACTGGACACTGCGCATTCACAGCACAGACAAACAACAATCGAGTCGATTTCACGATCAGTCCAGACGATTGATCGATAGATCGATTCAGTTCATGCACATTCGATCAAGGATTTTGTTGCTCGAGAGTTTACCCCAATTCGGAAGATCCACTCCCGCTTCAGTCCAGGCAGACCAGATCTGCGAGCCAGGAGCGATAATGTCGGGCTTGAGCACGTCGGCAGTCTCCATGGTGTCTCCATTGGACGGTGCCGGCCCTCTGGAAGAGTAATCAGCCACCACGGGGTTGATGGTTTTGAACTCCGCATTGCCGGCGGCAGGAACTCTGATCGCAGCCGCGGCTGTCCCCGGATTGTTGCTGTAATAGTCTATCACAGTCTGCACAGGGCCACCATCGACGAGAAGGAATGAGAGGATTGCCACTCCACGACATTCCCATGGCAAATCGCGCACGCTGGAACTCAGGAGCTCAGGAGAGATGGTGATGCAGGCTGAGTTCAGCTCAAATTAGATCGGGCCTCGGAATTTCGACCTCGGACCTTGGCGCAGCGGAAGAAACGAACTCACCGTAGAGGACGCGAGGTCCTTGATGACGACGCCGGGCAAAGCGAAGGGCATGGCGTCGAAGTAGATGGGGAAGTAGAGGTCCGGGTTGCTGGCCACGACCACGAAGCCCGAGGCATTGAGCGAGGCTGCAGTCCAGGCGACTTGCTCGAAAGTGGCACCCATTTCGAAGTTGTCGGAGTAGAAGCAGATGAGGATCTTGCCACTGACTTGGGAGGCATCGAATGCGCTGGAGTCTTGACAGTCCGTGGCCACCAGCGAGGAGTTGAAGTTGGGGTCGACGATGTCGGCCGACGAAATCAGCGCAGTGCTGGGCAAGCCGCTGGTGTATGACACTCCCTGGACCGTGGTCCCGTCTCCCAGATCCAAGTACACTGGGTACGTGCGATCTGTGTTCGCTGCGCCGACCGAGATGACCCAGGGGCTGAACGAGGTCACGGTCCCCGGCGACGATCCTGCATTTCCCGCTGACTGCACCACCACCACTCCTGCCTTCACGGCCGCCAGCAGCGCGATCTCCAGCGAGCTCAGATACGTGACGCCTCCGGGTGGGCTCGGCGGCCCCAGGGACATGCTGATCACGTTCACTCCATCTTGCACAGCCTGCGCGACCGATCGATCGATCGACATTTCCAGTTCGTCAGAAGTGTGGTTGAGCTCACCATCGGCCCCCAAGTCGTGTGTACATTTAGTTTCACTCGATCGTTCTTCCACTGAGTAATTTCCAGGCCGACTGGGGGCCAAGATATGCTCCTGGACCAGATGAAAATTCAACATGGCACATTTCTACAGCTCGATCCGTGAACGATTCATGCATGATTTGATTCATACGACGTTTCGAGAACTGGTTTACAGAGACTACAGCGGCAGTCACTGACCTCGTTGTCAATCGCGGGACGTCAAAGATGGACTCGATAACTTCTCGGATCGAAGCAATTTTCTAATGTGGTTGGATTGATGGAATGGTAAATGGTTATGATACATTTTTTGGACAGCTCAGTTCGGGAAAGTGGTCTCACGTTTGCATCACGAAGTCACAAAGACATTATGATTACAGTGGTAAGAATCATCATCAAGCCAGTGGGATAAGAAGTGGAATGGTCAGCGCTAGCTGAAGCTGCTACAAGTCCCGAGTCTAGAAGATTTTGTTTGCACACAAGGGCGTTCAGCTCAGCTCAGCTCAGGGCCTAGAGGTTCTGAGGTCACTGTAAAAGAGACGAGGTATGAATGTGCACCTGATCGATGGCTGCAACGCAGTCGGACAAAAATCCACCGTATCTGTAGATGCACTTGTAGGTTGCCACCCTGATGAACAAGGACCGGCAAATTACGTCTGTACTGAGTTAATTCATGACCTCGGTGCATAGTAAAGCGTTCATGACAGAAGATAAATGGGATGAAGCTCTGGACGTATTTCCACAAATCAGCACACAAAGACGAGAACATGAGCTGATTAGCAAATGCCGCAGATTGTACCTTGCACGAGGAGCAACGCCACTCATACTTCCGAAGGTTATTCCTTCCACTGTCACCTGAATGTCAGCGTTTCCTGCTGCAATTGCCGAGGTATGACTGCGACAACCAAACGGGGTTCCATTAGCCTCAGACTGCAAGACTTTTTCCACAGACATAAAAATTGATTGTACCTCGTCACATATGACTCATTCAGCAAGCACAGATTGCAATACAGTGCTATTACAATGCCAGCACGTAATGTTCTCAAATCTGATTTCTCAAAATCAAAATCATTGGAATTGCTGAAAAGGATGGTGAACTGCCGGAGGCAAGCATCAGAAGAATACTCACGTGCCATGGCCATTTCCGTCCATGGGTGAAGCGAAGTCCATAACTGGGTCCAGAATTCCGTAGGCACTCGCACTGTCGGAGAAGTAGCGGGCGCCCACGAGCTTTCGATTGCAAGAGCCCTGAGGGAAGGTGTCATCAACGGTGCAGGTACCCAAGTAAGAAGCAGGTACTGGGCCGTAGGAGTTCGGATCTTCATCTAAAAAACTCGGATGCCCTGGGTTGATTCCGGTATCCACCATGCCGATGACGATATTCTCTCCGGCTGACTGCTGGCCTCCTGAAAGAGCCCAGCCTCCAAATGCCGATGAGAGTGCAAGCAGCTGCGGAGTGTGCGTTGTGCTGGATACAAGCATGTAATCCTTCTCCACCCTGACCACACCGGCGAGGCTCTTGATCTTCTCAACCTGATTCATGCAATCCCCACACCCCATTATAATTTGTAGGCGAGCAAAGCTCCTGCACATTAATTGTCAGGAGGCACGGGTTTCCAAACATTGCCATCGTTATTGCAGCTACATTTATGGCGATCTGCTCTTCCATTCTTCTTGCTTGACTTCCACAAGAAAGGGCTCACAAAATTCCATGGAATTAAAGAAATCTCTTCTTCACGAAGTCATCCTCACGTGCTTCTTCTAAATTTGAAGAATCGTTGGAATCTTTCAGTTGTGCAGAGCTTGTATGTATACCTGGGCTCGGTTTGAGAACTCGACGCACATGGCGTTCGTGACATGAGTAAAAGAGTGGACCTTTTCGTACGATCCACTTTTCAAATTCTTTTGGAGAAAAGCATCTTGATTGCTTTTCAGTTTGGCTGCATACTGCTTCGAGTCTTTTCTGTCAACAGTCACAAGGTAGTCGGCGTTTGTCAATGCACACGTCAGTCAGTCGTTGCAGCTTCGAGACCGAAATCCCGCTGGTAACACAATCGAAGAACAAAATCGCAATCGCGATCGCACACACTGACACACACTCACACACGAGAAAACGACCTAATTCTGTACAGGAACCTGTATCGTGGAAGTCATGAACCCATATCCTTACTCAGGCACGTAGTTGAGTGGATGAGGTCCTGTTTGGCCATGCGAAGATAAGATTCTTCTTCAAAAGAGATCATAAGATCGAGAAAGATCTTCGCAACAAGAATTCAACCCCCGAAAGGAACCTCAGCATACTCAGCGTGGAATAACTCAGCACAATCGGCACGATGAGAAACTCTCACATCATAGATCTAAAACTCTCATTTTGCTTCAGGAGACAGAAACCACTGGCGAAACGGCAAAGCTCTTTGAAGAGAAGAGCAAAGAGCAAGAGGGCAATACATCGGCCATGAGGCACGTCACAAAAATCCATGGAGAGTCTGTCTATGCCTGTCATAACGACAAAATGTTGGGCCCATAGATTTCTCGCAGTCCTACAACACAAGAAGTTATGGAACATCACAAGCTAGAAGTGGAGGACGCTCTGACTGACTGTCAAAACTGTCTGACTGCAGGTGTGTGATTGTGATTGTGATGGAGTGACGAGCACTGACCTTCGCGAAGCTGTGCGGGATACACTGGCGGGATCAATTTTAAGTTTCTTATTCGAAGCTTCGTCGACGTCGTTGTACAAGTCATCGTACTCGGCGACCACGGGTTTACCTTCAAGCGTCACAATATACACGATTTTGCTCTCGTCCGGTTCGAGCAAAATTCTGGCTCCCGGCCTTCCATCGTAAAGGGCACTCACAGTACTGGCAACGATGGCCAGCAATGCGTAGCTGACCAACACCCAGCCAGAAAATTGTTTCATTGTTAGCATGAAAGGTTGAGAAGAACCGAGTCACTGAGTCTCGATCACCTGTGAAACAAAGCTGCAGTCCAGTCCAGATTCAACGACTCTGGCCAGACGCTCAAGTGTCGCAGTGGTCGAAAGTCCAGATTGAAATTATCCTCAGAGGCTCGAGGAACATTCCAGTTTGAATTTGATTTAAAGAATAGATCCTGTGATTATGGAGTGCGTAGTGACATCCGTCGAATCCCAGGCCTGTATGTTGCGTGCCGCCTGTACTCTACAAGAATACCAGTCCTCGTACTCTCAATGCCAATATCAGGTGCCAACACGTGTGATGGACGTGCAGATGACTCGCTTTCGTAAAGAAGCTGCAGCTCCCGCAATTCCAGTCACTCGATTGCACACACCTTTTGGTGCCGATGGCATTCTTTCTGAGAGAATTCCTGCTTCAGATCCATGCAAGAATCATTCGCTTGTTTGTGCGTAGCCTCGCCGATCTGCTGTCTACTACTACGTTAGCTTATAGAGACCGAGAACGAGAGAGTCATTCAGAAGAGTTCCTGGAGTGGATCGAGCTCAGGCCCCGGACTTGGGACTGGGGCAAGTCCGAAATAGATCCACTGGCGGAATTCTATGATAATAGCTAGTGGATGAGCTCCTTAAGTAGTAGTAGATCCGGATCCCATCCTGGGACTTTTCAGGAGAGCGCGTCTATCGACGGTGATCACCTTCTGTACCTGCATATGCATATCCACATCTACCTAGCCTCGCTGCATGTTGTTAACAACGCCCAGAGCAACATCCCTCAGCTCCCAGGGCCCCACCCACGACTTGCAGCGTAGGAACAGCAAATCGGCATATGCAAATGGCGGGTCGGATGTGCTGCTGTGGGTTGGGTAGGAGAGGAGAGGAGAGGAGGAGGCTGGGATGTGCAGCTCGCAGTGTTATTCCCTCCACAAATCACTCCTCCCTCTTCTCTGTCTCTCTCTGTCTCTCAGGGCATGGGAATGATTAGGAATGAGGCGACGAGAGGCAGCAGCATTGCTGTATGCTGGGTCGACAAAGACCTTTGACCCATTATTCACTACAGATAAGTTTAAAGTCCATTAAATCTCGCAGTCTTGTCTTCGTTATCATTATTATGTTGCGCTGTGGCCTCGGAATCCATGCCAGGGCCTTGGCAACTTGGGACAACAGTTGTATTTGTTCGCCCGATGCTACGTTTGTCAGAAGGTGTTGATGTCGCCATCGCTGACTCTGGCCCAGAACATGGAGTATATTGGCGGACCCGAATTCGCACCACGTCAAGCTCACGTTGATTCTCATTCGCTCCGCTAGAACTCGAGCCGTGTCCCCAGCGGATCTGACCGACCACGCTCTGCTCCAGCTCTCTCTGCTCATCATGTCCCGAAGTCAACCTTGAGGAACCATGGATGCATAACAGCAATCGGCACTCGCCCGCTTCTCTAGCTATGCAGCCATGCCAGCAAGTGAGACTCATCGTAACCATCTATCAGATGGGCTACAGTCGTGCACAGCACGATCACTTGCTCTTTCGTGTAGCTAGATTCTCGGGCCCGGGAGAATAAACACACCATTCCCACTGCAAGTTGTATTTGATCTTCAGGTTTAGAGGGTCGATCCATGCACCCAGATCGTCAGATCCCAACTTCTTCTTGACTCGCTGAGACGGTTGAGAGAAATTCTGCCAGCAATCTTATCGAGATTACGACTGATGAATTTGCCTTCCCGAGGGCAACTTTTCCATTCCCAAAGGTGTATATATTGAGCGATCGACGTGGTCATGGTCGCTTTGGATCGAGGGAGAGAGGGGGGAGGAAGTGAGAAGTTATGGTTCGATGAACCAAGCCAGGTGACTGTTGTTTGGATCTCGTCATCTCTCGAGCTCGCCGCCCACTTTCTCATCTCATGCAGTGGTCGCTCTCGGCTTCTTATTAGCAGCTAGCCAGTCATGATTGCCTCTCAAATATTAGCACTCGAAACTCGTGTCTTAAAGATGGGCATCGGTGAGCGTCTTCGGATCCTGTCGGATTCCGATCGAATCTGTGGTCTTGCGATGTCCCCAAGCCATATGGGGAAGTTCTCTGTTCAGCCAGGAATGGCGACTGTAACGGCAGACTCACTTCTAATGTCGGTGCTCCACGATGCCTGGCAACTGAAATACTGATGCTCCTCATTCGACATGAAGTCTCGATCGTACAACTAGTTCACACAATTGCTGAGCCCATTGTGCTGAGTGTGTAAAAGCTGTGGGAGCCTGACCTGGACTAGTCCCAAGCTTCGAGACTGGATGAGTGAATCGGAGGCAAATATCTTCAGGTACGACGGCTGCAGCTTTAGCATGATTTCCGTTCAGAAGTTCATGGTGACACTCCTGTGTGTAACGTACCATGAGCTCGAACTTCCCACCTCTTTTGAGCAGGCCGAGGCTTAGGCTTGAGCTCGACTGTAATTTTCATCTTGCATGTGATGAGCATCTTGGTTTGTGCTATACTGCGTTCTTGCAATGGCATCTTCTCTGCATCTCCCCGATATGGAGTTTTCGTCATACATCTGCAGCAGTGTGAACTATGTTCACATGTACAGTCGGAGCGCTACTCTCTGCCTTGAAGATTCGGAATTGGTCTTTCATATCCAGCTTCTGCAAGTTCGAAAGTAAATAAGTACCCTCCGCATGTGCATCTGGATGTCCAAGACCAACACATTGCGGGAAGCAAACATTTTGCCCTGAACTTGTTTCTAAGATCTGCCAGATCTCTTGAAGTTCAGATCTCAGATCGAGATAATGTTCAGCTCATTCTCGAGGCAGCTTTGACATGTACCGGGGCACGTGTCATTGATCAGGTGCTGAGAATTTCGTATCGTCGCTTCGGCTCCTGCAAAGTGAACAATAATTCATATCAAGGTCTGACTACACGTATGATCCACATTGTACAGCTACTTCGTTCACTTTTACACAGCAGTCATGATCCGTACGCTGGCTGGCTCTCCAGGTTGTCCACTCTTCGAGATGAATCGAGGTGAAATTCAGATTCGAAGGTCGAGATTGTGACGGATGTGAACTGTGAGTTGGTCGAGGCTGATTTGCTTAGGCCTGAGGGGCAGCTTTTGAAGGCCCCTTTCACTTGGTCGAGGTTGATTTGATTAGGCCTGAACCAGCTTCTAAATTCCTCTTTCTGTTGATGTGAATTAGGCATTATCTGGTTGACTGCACCTCGTCGTCGTTCAGGAGAAGTTTACAGTTGAAGCGAGTCAAGGTTTGAGAAAATGTCCTGTCCAGCTACGGCAGTCTGTACTTAAGTAACGCAGCCATGTCCAGGTTCGTCCCTCGAGTTTGTAAAGCGCGAAAGCCGGTTTGCGATTCAAGAGCCTCTCTGGTGTGAAATCAGAAGTAACCTCGAGGTTTCTCTTCGTACGTTGGAAACCCAAGTAAACAAGAAATGCGTCCTTGATCGACAGCAGAATCCACGACCATAACTGAGTCGAGCTTATCATTTGCAGTCAGTCGTAACCCAGGGCACATGAAATTTCGCATGTCGGATGAAGGCCATTCCAAACTGTACTTCCCAGCTCCAGTACGCTCTTGAAAGGCTCTTCAAGAGCTCGGATCCAACGAAGGTTCGAGCAGGGGCTTCTTAGCTTTTCACAGATATTTCCTTCCTCGTGTCCTGGCCTATAACATGCTCGGGGTTCAGTGTACATGCCCACGACTGTTGTCGATGGTTCGTTATGTATGTGAGTTACCTGCTACTGCATTAGGGACATGTAAACTCTCATGTGACATAGCCCTTGTCCAGGTCCAAACGTTGAGCACATATCTCACATGTGTGTGACCTTAGTTGCACCCATGGTGGATCTCGTCTCTCCATACCATATGCACGAATAAATTCTCCATATGTCGTATACTGCTTCAAGGCCAGCAGAAACCAGAGCTTGAGAAATACTCCTAGAAGATTCAGAAAAACGCTGACTTCGAGATACTGAAGAACATTGGACAATTGATACAATTGAGACAATTGGATCATGAAAGCTTAACAATAGTGGTGAAGATGCATTCATCATCTGACCAACTTTTCTCCGGGCAGTGTCTCTCCCGCTTTTCCAACCAAGTAGATCTCCGCCAGGATCTTCACGATTCAAAACTCCAGCAAAGAGGAGTGAATGAGAGTTATATTATATGCAGGTCTCTGCATAACATAGAAGGAACTCGACCTCCTCTCTTTTATGCTTAAAATATGCACCTATATTCTAGAAAGCGACCCCCTCCCGCAAAATTTGTCGAGAATTCAAAATCAACAGCTATCAACGAAAAATATCTGGATTTTGTTGGTTGCGTCACCGCGTGGAAAATTACAATGTTGCAATGATTGATAGAAATTCTAGCCATTATAAAAAAGGCACCGATGCCCTCTCAGCCACTAGAAGCAGGTGGGCGCATCAAAGTCTCAGACTGATCAGGGTATGTTTGACATGCTTGACAGCCAGAAAGGTCCAAGCAAGTTTGCAGTTTTCGAGGCTAAGAGAACAAAAATTCCTAGAAATTAAGGGGCCATGCTATCTAATGCTGCGACTGCAAGGGCACTCGTTGCAGCGAAGACCAACACAACCATAGTAACCAGTCAAGTGTATTCCAGTCAATGATTCGGGTGAGAACACCACAATCGATCGTGGCTTCCTAGAGAAGATACTAAAAATGATAAGTCACGCTCGTACTCATCGAACTTCGCCGTAAATTTCACTTCCTTCATAGCGAAAAAGTAGCTGAGTGCATGAGAAAATTGATTATCTGCATTATTCAATCTTCCAGCTGAATAAACGCTTAAATAATTCATATAATATAAATTACATAAGTAATTTATATTGTGCGTGCTCCTCTGTGTGTGTGATAGAGAGAGAAGAGTTATTAAGCTTCGCTAAGGCCGTCTCCTTCTATCTCCTCTGCCGCCATCCTGCCTGAGTTTATTTTATACTCTGTCTGCCACAACAGTCAGCAAGAATTATATGCTCCAAGTGACACAGCAAAGAAGGAAACAAATAACGTCGTTTCTTTGGACTATGTGTGTGTATATGTAAGAGAGAGAGAGAATATGAAGGTATTAGCTTCGTAATTGATTCATGATGGATCTTAACTGCTTAGTGGACAGACTACACTCTCAACCTAGATAGCAATTGTCATGGAGTTCATTTGACTCCTTAATACAAGACATAGCCGGCTAGCTATGGCACTTTTCTGTGAAACCATCCAAAATATATGGAGGAGTTGCGAGAGCAGAGGCTCAAATCCTTCCGGCCGTACGAAAAATCATCCGAAAGAATGGGACTGTGGAGGCATGTTCACCAAGAGTGTTTGAGCCTGGAAATGATAATCAGCGAAGTTGGGTAGCAAGTTCTTATCGTAGGGCTTTCTTTCACCCACGAGTTGCAGGAGGTCGAGATTGAAGCAATGTGAATTTCCCGTACTTACATCGAAAACTTCTGTAATCAACAACGCATTTTAAAGACGTCTCTTCCTGAATCCCGAGATCTAGAAATTCGATCTCAAGAAGCAAAAGAGGCTGTTCTTGATCGACCTGGATTCAGATTCCAAAAGTCTTCGAAATGACAGGTCCGGAGGTCATTCAATCAAGATTTGTCTATTATAGTGACCCACGGTCTGGTCGTGGCGCATCTGCAAGCTGCACTAACTTCTCAGAATTTCTCTGCCCTGATTCTTAAGACCTTCAAATGTCCATGATGCATCTCCTGGACTCGTATTTTTACGGCAGAAATAGTCCGCTTGGGTCGAGATGAACGTGATGGACACTGCTGTAAGACCGTATTCGGTCGTTCGCGATGAATAATAGCGTGGGAAGCATCATTCAGTGACAATCGTTGACAAGATGAAGGCACAATGTAAGTATGATCTTGGATCTGATCATCGACCACCGTGACTTTCCCGTAAGTGGAATCTTACTACGCTGCGGTCCTCAAACAGCAGGCCCAACTGTCCATGCGTTTTAGCGAGGTGGGAGCTCAGGGCAGGGCAGGGCAGCTATCATCTACTGCTATCTACTGGCCATATCAACACAAACGAGATTCATGCAGTGTACAATATTACGGTGAGTATGTCACAGAATGGACTCTACTTCACATCTGGACTAGAAATCATCCCAGACCAGAGAACACTTGGCCCGCATTCTTTTGTGTCTCCGTCAATTTTTCATTTCAAAACTTCTGTAATTTTTTTCTGGATACTTACTTACGCCTCGACATTTCATTCGTCTCACTTCGCTTCATCTCCTTCATCGCCGGTTCCTGCGTCCATCGTCCACGACGATTTTCTCCTGGAATGTGCAAGGCCTAGTTCGAGCCAGTCAATTCACCTCTACCGAATCTGACTCATCAAGAGCCAAAGCTGCCGATGGGCACTTTCTTCATTCACCTTGACCAGCGCATTTGCTCTTGGAACCTGGACGTGAGTGGAAAGAAAAAGCTGGTACGTATAGGTCCATTGTGTGTCATACATAGATAAACGACTTTTGTGCTTGCGCTATTCCACCTGATGTTTATCAAGAGTCTCGCGAATCCAGGCCAGGCAGCTGAACATGCAACTTCTCACTTATTGGGGACGGTTGTATCAGAAACAGGACGGTATCTGAGATTGTTACCCAGGGCTTGGTTTTCGTCTGCAGGTAAGACTAATATCTCGTGCAATGAGCCACTCTAATCAGTCAGTCGTGCAGTTGACTGCACGATTGTCAATGTCGCACACCCTTCAATGTGGAGAAGACTAACTCCGATTAAATTCACGAATTGTATGAAGCTGCAAGTACCTACAGCCTTCTCCGTATGCTCAAAGGCGACCAATCTTGTGATCTCTGTTTGCATACCATTCTCCAACTCCTCCAGACTTCAACAGAGAGTATAATAATACGAAGTATGTTCACGGAGCTTTCTCAAAGGGGAATTTTAGCTGATGTGACTAGCACGCTTTGAGACTCAGCTGAATCAAATTCAATAGTCTCTCTTCGGTCACTCACCGACGGCAACTTGCAATCGATTTTGCTCGCATCAACGAGCTGAAGGAAGAGCAAAAGCGGCCCTTTATTGATTGTTGACGCAGAAGAAGACGGATGTATTAGAAGAACAAAGGAACAATGCAGAAAGCCATATCCATACGGTGGGGTCATAGTTATTCTGCCCATCCGTCGCAGCCTCATTGCGCCGTTTGTTTGACAGAACAAGCTCAACAGCTTGTCCTTGAAACTTTCGTCCACTTCGTCGAGTATTCGACAAATCGTTTAGAATGACTCATAAAGCAGAAAAATGAACAGATTGGCAACTCAAGCTTTAGCTAAAAAGGCCCGCAGTTTCTAAAGAGATGGTGTTCCGGGTACGCTCTCCTCCATCTTGAAATCTCCGTTCACTGCAAGTTGTCTACTGGGATAGAGTAGCGGCTACGAGGTCTTGTCTCAGATACGCGTTCATTCAATTGATTTGCTTCAACGAAGCGGCGGACTTTCGAATCTTCGACAATCCAACACATGTACACGTCAAAATTTCAGATCGAGTCAAGCGATTAAAAGGGCCTCCCCTTTCAGCAACGGGGCCACAGGACGCTGCATTATACAACATTGGTCCTGGTGCACATCTAGATCAAGTGGAAAGCGCCAATTCTCAGATATGCGAGGTAAGTCCAAGCTCAGGAGCAGAGAAGAAGAGATTTGACAAAGTGACAGCGTTAACTACACATTCATCAGAGTCGGAGACATTTTGCAACACTCGGTGAATCATCCCGACGGCATCACGATCAGAAGAATTTTTACTCCTAAACTTTATTCTCATCGAGGGATCGTCATCAGAGATTGGCGAGTCTTGAGTAGCCGGACCTGTCAGATGGTGGATGATCGTCAGTAGGGCAGAAAGAAGAAGCGATTGACAGCGTCTCTGTGCCATTGGTTCAAATGAGCTCCAAGTCTCGTACAATTGCTGATGACGGTTCGCGCATTTCGTCTTCCCCGCAAGTGCAAGCCTACACTGACCTCCGCCAGCTGCGTCGTCAATGATGGCAAGGAGTATTCCCCCTTATATGCTGTCAGTAATATTTCTGACTCTGAGCTTGAGCTGCACGAGACGAAGTACTGTCGCCGCAATCCGTCAGTTCGAGGAGGATTCAGAGTCCAGATATAGATCCAGACCATTGAGAATACCGGAGCCCGGAGCACGATCCGAAGAGACTGTGCAGAATTTGTTCGAGGAATGGATGGACCGACATTCCAAATCCTACGGTGATACTGTCGAGGAGAGCATACGTTTCATCATCTTCAAAGACAATCTGAGGCGCATAGACGAGCATAACAGGATGCCGTCTTTGTACAAAATGGGATTGACCAAGTTCGCAGATCTCACCGAGGAGGAGTTCAGAGCTTTTTACATGAGGACCAGACACCGGAGACATGTCAGGCTCCATCAATCACCGAGCTTCTCGTACTCCAAAGTCGAAGTCGTGGCCAGGACGGTCGATTGGAGGAAGAAAGGAGCTGTCACGCCCGTCAAGTATCAAGGTCCTTGTGGTAAGCAATATTTGCATGATAGCTTCTTCACCCAAGGTACAACTATGCCATGAACTCGTTCTGCCCGGAATGACACAGTCACATTGCTGCAGGGAGCTGCTGGGCTTTCTCCACAATTGCAGCAGTCGAAGGCTTGAATCAGATCAAGACGGGCCGTTTAGTATCTCTCTCGGAACAGGAGCTTGAGAGTTGTGATACCACTCAGCGTAACCAAGGTTGCAAAGGAGGCCACATGGACTATGGATTCGAGTTCATTGTGCAAAATGGGGGCGTAGATTCTGAGAGCGACTATCCTTACACGTCTGCAGATGACTCCTGTAATTATCACAAGGTGCGTTCCTTCCTTTCATGACGATCTGATCTGTGATTGCGATCGATGTCTGCAGAGGTGGATTTGGTAGGGAGGCGCAGGGATCTTCGGTCTGTGGGCGGTTGTCGATGTTATATCTGATAGTGGGTGAAATTTCCATGTGCAGAAGAAGAAGTTTGCTGCAACAATCATGTCTTACGAGGATGTACCAGCAAACAATGAGCGAGATCTGCAAAGGGCAGTGGCACATCAGCCTGTCAGCGTGGCCATCGATGCCGGAGATGGAGACTTTCAGCTGTACATCAGCGTGAGATGCTGCTCCTCTCAAACCCAGCTGTATGAGCAAATCTGCCACGGTTCCAGATCTAGAGAAAGCACTCGACAACACGTCGACCGCCACCTGATTTCTGTCAATGGACTGCATGTCTGCAGGGAATCTACGATGGCGACTGCGGCACGGAATTGGACCACGCAGCTGTTGTTGTAGGGTATGGATCTGATGAAGGGGAGGACTACTGGATACTGAAAAACTCATGGGGAGAAAGCTGGGGCGAGGATGGCTTTTTCCGTCTGCAGCGCAACATCGATGCAGAAGAGGGAATGTGTGGCATTGCGATGGCGGCTACTTACCCAACCAAGACCAGAGACTAACCTGACTAAGGCAGATCGCTCGATCTAGTCCAACGTATTTTTCTAGCCTGTTGCATGGACCTTTACGTGACATGCATCAGGATTTGGAACGAATCAAGTGATATCGATTCATTGACGGAAAGCAACGGCGGTAAGAGACAATCCTTGGCTGGAATCTCATCAGGGTAGTATGCCAACCTTATCTCCAACCCAAAATTCTGTCACTTAAAGCTGTCCCACGTCTATGCAAACTCTTAGTACATTTTTGAGGCTGCAAAGTTTCTCAATCAATGACATGAAGATGACATGAAGGCCAGAGAGTAAGCTCCTCAAATTTGTGCAAGAAGCTGTAAGCATTGTCTTTAGAATTTGGTGATCGGTCGATGTCCTCTTTTCTGCACGACTCTACGTACATAGCATGAGATTGTATGGCGAGGTTTCTACAAATCTGGCCGGTGCACATATGTTTGATTTAGTCCAGATCCAGTCCGTTTGAGCACTCTCACGGCCGCATTCAACTTCTTGCCAGTACTTGACTCTAAGTTCTTGGACTCTCGGTTCTTCCAGTGTACAATCTGTGTCCTTTCAATGGACTTCAACTCTTCTCTCCCATTCGTAAAACTATATAAAACGCAGCTCACGGAGAAATTGAGTCGTACCCTTTTAACTTATTTTCATGACTCCATGCTCAAGGTGCTCGTTGAAAGAGAAATGCTATTCAAGACATGTATCTGCCATTATGATCAGCATTCTGATCTGCGTACAGCAGGATGTCTGCAGAATATAAAGGCTGCAGTCTTTGATTTTGGACTTCACTCCAGTTCTGGTAATTTAACGATGTTTGTTTGAGACACTGTCAAGACAAACTAGCGTTGGTGTGAGGGTTTGGCCAGTAGACTTACCCTCGAGGATCCAAGCCAAATGTGATCGAGAGGTGCCGGAAATTGCTGTCATGCTGCTTGGATGCAGTACATTATGCAGTAATCCTCTTTGTACAGTTTGAACCTGTCGTCGAGTAGTTGCAATTTTCAGTTCTAGGATTTGCTTCGCATAATCGAACAAGAATACTGAAGTTCATCTGAATCCGCAAAACTAATATGATGACTTTGCCTGTGCCGGAAATGTCATTCTTCTATTGGCAACCTAGTGTCCAGTAGTATAATGCTTTTCCTCTACATTTTCTTTTAATTACATTACTATAATACAGTACCTTGCTTTTATAAGCTTTAAACAAGAATACTTCAAATACTTTACATATAATTATAGAATCCAGATCATTTTTTTGCATTTTTTTTGGAAATACGATATATATATTGCAATATATTCTTTTCCGTTGAGCTTATGCGTCGGAAGTAGAAATAAAAGCGTGGAGCAGACCAGGTTTGGAGATGTTCTCACACCGTATACATTGTATACACTATATATCGTTAATCTTTTAAAAAAATTTGACTGGTGTGGTCTCAACTTTGATCATTAAGATTCACATTGCAGCGCTTGTTTATTACTTTGTCAAAATATACTTCACGAAAGCATTGAGGAATCCTGCATGAATTTTCCCTCCGCTATTGTGAGCCTTTATTTCCATTCCCAGAAATTTCACGCTTTCGGCGCTTATGTGGGATAGTGGTTAATTTCTCATTGTATTAACTGATTAAGTATTTTCATTAGAGCTACGACTGCTAGAATGGTCTGCAACAGATTTTTCATCAAGCAAATATATCTAGTTTTTCTGTTTTTTAATTGATCTACACTTAATTTTACATCAAATTATATTTTACAAGCTAATTATAAATTTGAAAGGTTGAAGTTTTTTCTTACATGCTTGTAACTAAACATACTCCTACACAATATATCCATTCATCATCGAACACAAAATTTCAAAAACTCTTATATGTATTTTTTTAATAAAATTTTACATTAATACAAGAACTTTTACTCATATTTTGTTGAAGTGATTTTATACCTCTTGAATCTATTAATATATTATTAATTATATTAAATTATTACTATTATTATGTAAATTCATTTTACTGAGATTAAAATTTCTCGATCAGTTTTTATGAGGATTAAAACATATCAACATGATCTTGATCTAGCTAGTAAATTTTCTAAAAGTTTTTTTTATCTCCATGTTGAGATAATGACATGACATTTTGAACAATCAACATGTAAAGTATCAATTTGCCAAAAAATTAAATTTATATTTCCTCCAATTAATCAAATACTTGTATTTAGTTAAAGATATCAAATAATGATTGCACAAAAATTTGTAAAATTTAACACCAAATCTTTGATAAAAGATAAAAGATATGAAACTATGATTTCAAACTATAAAAGAAAGTTGTTCATAATTCTTATTGTGTCAGTAAAACTAATGTGAAATCATTTTTTTATTCTATTAAATCAATATGTTTGTAAAAAATCTAGGTTAATTTTTTGAAATTGATTTACAAATTTTTTTTCATTTTTTTATTTCAAAAAATCTATAAGATTTTCTTGAAAATAACTTAAACATGAAAGTTATCAAATGAGGAGTTTGAAAGATCTCCAAGACAAAAGTTCAGGGTGATAACTCGAGAATGATTGCAAGAGTGAAAGAAATAAAAAAAACTACAAAAAGCAAGCAAAGTTGAACTTAAAGCTCCAATTTACGTCAAACATGCCATGATTGCTGCTTGCTGGCAGCCGAATTTACCTCATTGTTTAGAAATATTTTCTTTGATCAATAAATACAAGTACCTTGTACAACAAACATGTTGATGATTTTCAAAATTTTCCATTTGTAGTCTGTTTCTTCTATGTATATCACAACATCAAAACAACATGATGCTGAACATGTATCAAAATACATTTATACATTAAGTGTTTTGGCGAAAGCAGCAGTAGTGTATAAATGTAAGTGTGCATGATGTGTAAGATTTTCAATCAGATGTTGTTGTCAAAAAAAAGAATGAGACTAAATTCAAAATGAGATTATGAGTTGTTGAAAGCATTTGTTGAATGGGGTTCTGATTATGACGATATTCACAGTTTGCTTGTTCTAAATATATACCCATGCTCCAATTGCTTTTTGATCATAGTTTAGTGTTTGTGAAGCAAAGTATTAGAAAATAGTTAGTTAGTTCACTATAAGCAAAATTTAACTGAGTCATTTTAATGATGATCACGCTGGAGTTTATTGAAAGATATCAGTAGAATGAAAGTATTAGGTTCATCATAAAGCAAAATTTGACCTAGCAGAGGCTTGAGATCATTATAATCATAATCATGCTTGAGTTAACTAAAAGAGAAGCAATAGGAACAAGGAGATACGCTCATTATAAAGCTAATTTTAATGAAGCAGACGCTAAGATTCATATAAACACAATCAAACCCGAGTTAGCTAAAAGAGGTGATTGATACAAGAAGCACAGCAAATATATAAATGACAGATAACGTAAATTGGAGCTCACATTAGACACATATTAAATTTGTTCCGCATTTCAAAAAACTTGATATCATGTGATGTTAGATAATCAAGCATGCAACAATTTTCTTTATTAATTTCATTTTCTCACATTATGGAAGTATGATCTCATAGTATTTTACTTAAAATACCTTGCAAATATTATCATAGTAAACAATTTGAAGTATTGAATCAGAGGTCTAGCAGAAGTGTTTTCTTTGAAAAAAGGTTTTTTTTTATTTTTCAATTGCTCATGGCAGGATTGATCTTAAAATCTTCATTTCCTGTTTTCTGTCACAAGATTGAAACGATGATGAAGCTTTAGATGGTAGATGTTCGTATTATTATCTATATAATTAAGAAAAATAAGATAATTGAAAGCAGGTTCACAATCCTAAATTTTCATCATTGCGAACTTGGAAAATTCAACTTAATCAAGGACTGATATATAGTGGAGGATAAGCAATGACTTAGCTTTCCACTTAACTTTTAATATAGCATTATAAGATTTTGAATTGTTTTTGTTCAAACTGTTTTAAGCATTAACTAATAGATTTTAGTTAAGAAGTTAAAACAATATGCTACTTATATGATTGAATATTTCACAAAAGAAATAATTAGCAACTAAATTTTGTCGCAGAAACAACTGTCAACAATAGCTGAAACAACAATTTTATCAAAAATAAGAAGATCCTACCCAAATTGTAGAGTGAAAACAAAAATAGCTTGAATTTTTTAAAAAATTAACCCTTATTTTCAAGATTTTATCATAAAAAGTCTTTGATTCAAGATTTTATTTTAAATTTTAGTGCAAATATCTTTGCAGGAAAATTTCTACAACATAATGAATCCAATATAAAAAATTGATGGTATTTTTTAATTAATCCGAATTAATAAAGTTTGAGCAAGGTATTGAGGCTTAAATCATACATCTTCAATCATTAGGACAGAAAAAATCTTCAAGACATATGTGTATCATTATACTTATTAGCCAAATTTGATTTTCAATAAAAAAAAAAGAATTTCTTTTTCTACATCATTGAACATTTCTGAGTGATAATTCTATTGCAAATGTTTTTCGTATTATATATAAGACATCTTGAAATGAATCAATTTTAAAAATAAAAACTATCATTTAAATACCAAATATCACGTTGATGTCTTTTATTATCCGGTGATTGATACTTGAAATTTTTGAAAAGTGTTGGATTAAAAAAAAAACTCAATTTATTTTCTGTGAATTATTGTCACATGTTTGGTTTCTTACGTAGGTATAATTAATAAAGAGATATAAATGATTGTTGACTGATAACTCACCATAAATTATTAAAATGTAATTTCCTTCATTCTCATCCAATACAACACTTAATCGTTTATGGAAGGTCATATCTTAGATAAATTCAGTAATAACTTTGGATTTTGACATTGGTTTAAGTTTAAAAGTTAATTTCAACATATAATGATAGCGAATTATTTAGATTTAGACTAGAATGATCATTTGAAAAGATTATGTTGTGTGAAGTTCATAAACTTTATTTTTTTTCTAACATAATATGGATAAAGAGTTTGATGCCAAAAAAATGTATTTGCTCAACGATGAATCATAGATTGATTGATATGCAGTTCAAAAAAAAGATGTTGGTAATGCAAAAAAATTCTATTTATTAAAGCTATCAAATGAGAATTTTTAAATATACTTTTTTGTTATAAAGTTCTTTTATTTTTACATGATATGATCAACATGTACCAAAAATATAAATATTTGATTCTTGTCAAATATTTATATTTAAATCCATATAACTAATTTTTTTATTATTTTTGTCTTGGAATAATATTTTTAAAGTTTTACAAAATGAAATATTTTAGGTGTTTATTGATGATATGAATTTTATCACTGAATACTAACCCAAGAATCTAAAATGACTAAATGCAATCTCATAAGTGATGAAATCAAATTTTCTAATATTTTACTTGAGGTCTTTCATGGGCACTCGAGGATTCCAAGCGACACGCAGTTTTGGTCGAGTATTGTGTCAAGCTGAGAACTTGGGAACATCGTTCAAGACACGAATCTGGACCACCTGAACACCACAGGGGGGAGAAAATACTCGGATCGATGTTTGTAGCTCGATCACGACACGCCCATCGACACTCCAACATTGTAGTCTGTGGACATGCAATAAAACGCGATGTCTTCATGGTATGGGATCAGAAGACAACTGAGTTGCAGATGGGAGCCATAGCTAAATCTGTGACATTGATCACAGTAATGATCTCCACAGCATCTGCATTTCGAGTGACATCCGGTTAGAAATTAAAATTAAGCAACAAGATTTATTCTTATATCATTTTATCAATACAAATCTTCATTCAAATATTGGAAATGTATTTATCAACCATTTTGTTATACTTTTAATTAATCATTTAATAATTACACAAGAATATCATGAAATTAGATTTCCAATGTAATAGAGATTAAAATACAAAACATCCAGAAAAATGCGCTGACAGGTTCTGGTAGATTGAATAGTCTACAATCCCAAACATCTTTTCATTGTTGCAATTAAATATTTACATCAACTCAAACTCTTGTATGTCTTACATTGAAAAGAAATTCATGCAATGATTGATTGATATTCAATAAAGTAACATTTTTCACGGATGCCAATGTTTGATTCATATTTTGTAATCTTTCGTAAGTGTAATTTTGATTGATCATATTTCTAATATGATATTATATATGAGAGATTGTCATAAGTTGTAACTATACAACTAATTATTTGGTGGAGAATTACTGATAACATCTTGGGTGGATATTATTGATTCTCTATGTTATTGATTTTCTTTGTAACCCTTAAATAGAAAGAGATATATGTTATATCAAGATGTAATTCATACTTCTATGAATTTAATCAGAAATTGTTGAACATGGTAATGAAAATTTTGTTCTCCCATATATGGTAGATTCACTCATATTTTTAATATATCTACAACTTATGTTTTTCAAGTTACAAACTCAACATTCTCAAATAATATGGACGCCAAAGTTGATACCTCTGATTGACTTTCTCAAAAATGGATCATTAGATAACTCCGGTGGAAAGCTTTGAAGATCTATTGAGTAATGCTAACTATGTAAGAACAAGAGAAGAGATAAAACTCACAAGATCCATCATTATCTCTAAACTCTTTCTGAAACATCAATTAAAATCTTTTGAAGATTGCATGCTTCACATGTACCATATCTAAGAGTTTTCTAATACTTACCAATTATGCATCATAGTTTAATCGTGTGATGATTACAAAAGTATGACGTGAATAAATAAAACGTTACAAATTTTATCCCCAAGTTGCGAAACTGTAACGAAATAAAAAATGCACAATCCTATCTTGTCTGTGGCATAAAGTGCATTGACCCTTAGTGCAATACATATCGAGAAATGAATAGCATCTTACAATATTATGGTGCAAGTGGTACAACGAGGGGAAAACACCAAAATCATACACTATAGAACTGAACATTCGAATAGTTATATAATAGTTTATGCACATGTAGTTTCAATGATTGTCGAAATGACATGTTTATCACGTTGTGATTGGATAAGTTCATGGAGCATAGTCATGACACGGACGGAGCAGATACGGTTACGGTTAATTCTGAGCAAGTAGACTGTTGACACTGGACGAGGTGGTTAAAGGCTGCCTAAAATATTGTGGTGGTGGCGAGCGAACGTCGAACATGAGGCCTCCATAAGGCCTCCAGCGAGCGCTTCAATCAGATCGTCGAGAGTGAAGACATCGAGCCAGCGCCAGAAGCCCCCGAAGACTCGTTCTCGGCTTCATCGACGTCCTCGACAAGCTCTCTCAGGTTCGTGGCCTGCAGTTGTCGTGTAGCACTTCAATTAAGTGATACCAGCTCTGCTTGTCCAAAGTAAGCAGGCTCGTAAATTCATCAGCAGCTCCAGCTCCAGCTGCTGCTGCTGCTGCCTCTGCGTCTTCCTGCTCTGTAGGCGTGCTGGCTGCTGGTTTGAGATTCTGATCCTGCTCCAGCTGTAGCTTGGACGCTGTGCATGTTAGGATCGATTTGCTGGATCAGAGTATGCCTCTACCGAAGACTCTTGCGCAGACATTTGCATTTAGAAGCAATGTAGCTGGGTCCGGTTTGATGTCTCGGTTCGATCGTCGTGCTTTGGCGCATTCGTCCTGGACTGAGATCGTCGTGCCTCTCACTTTCGATCGCACCTTTTTGGCGAAGGTGGGAGAGTCTAGTGAGCTCTTGAATTTTGGTCGCAAGTGTCTGTGAGAAGATTCAAGATATCAAAGAAGTCGAGTCGACTTCGTTGTGAGAGTGCTGTTTGCCAGTCTGTCATGCAATTCTCTCTCTGTGGGTCTCGTGCGGCTCTGTCTGACTTCCTCTGTTGGAGGGTGCAGCGTAAATTCTCATTCTTGGCTCCTGGAATTTCTGGAATTAGCGTCTGGCCGAGGCAGGTAGAGTGTGATCTTCCAATCTCCGCAAGCGGCCTCTGTAAACAACGCATTTGAATTCTTCAATCAGGAATCTGATTTTACTCTGCACTTCTGATTGCACTGTAGTTTGCAGCTCGCAGCATTCTGTAGCAGAGTTGTATTCATAGCCTCTTCACTGACTTTTATCTGCGGGCCTTCTTCTCTTCACAAGATTCCAGTCCAGCACGGCTGCATACGCCGGCAATTTTGCAGTAGTCGCTCTATCAGAGCCATTGGCAGGGGGCCGGAGGAGAAAGGATCGGACCTGATGCCCCCGGCAAAGAAGATGCTATGGGCGCCCATAATTCAAGAAGGTGTCTTCCGGTTCGATGCCAATGAGGGGGCAAAAAAGCAAGCCTGGCCCTCTGTGTCCTTCGTAAATGGGCAGGATCGAGAGTCGCCCATCACGTTGACAGCCGAGGCCCACATTCGGGAGCCCCTCTACATCCCTCAGTGCAGGACGGACAATGGCTCACAGACTATCACTGTGAAAGTAAGCCTCAATTTTCCATCTTTCTGAAGTAAATCGATTTTTGTTTTCACCGATCCCTCATTTTGCACGATTGATACCGTTCTGACCACATAATTCTTTTTGCTCAATTCGTTTTACAATTTGGTTGCAGCTGCCTGAAGGCACTTCATTCTATGGTACTGGTGAAGTTAGTGGGCCCCTTGAGAGAACCGGGAAAAGGGTAAGCTCTATGAATTCTTGCACATTAAGCAGCAGCTGCATTTGAAATGTCGGTGATTGGACTTCGATTTCTGTCAGGACGAGGGCATCCATCAGTCAACTAGCTTGTATATATGACCTTATAACACTTTGGTTAGATATAAATTGCAGCATTTTACGTGGTGATGATTTTGTGTAAAACCTTTTCACTCTATGGATGTTCAACTCTACCAGGTCTTCGCTTGGAACACTGATGCATGGGGTTATGGGCCCAGCACAACAGCATTGTATCAGTCACATCCTTGGGTTCTTGCGCTCCTTCCAGATGGAACTACTTTCGGCGTTTTAGCTGACACCACTCGCCGAGCTGAGGTAATACAATATTTGCTTTTGGAGAGATGTACCACGGCAACTTGATGTATCTCCAAGTTGCCGATTCAGATGACATTGGGATTCTTAAACTTTCTGATGAGGAAGCAGGGTGTATACTGACACAACATAAATACTTGTGGATTTCACTACAGATCGATACCCGAAAGGCGTCTACCATCCGTTTTGTAGCATCTGGATCGTATCCTGTCATAACATTTGGACCGTTTTCGTCCCCTGAAGCAGTCCTGACTGCTCTCTCCAAAGCTACAGGTACATTCCAAGAGTCGAAGTCTTGTCAAATATAAGTTTGCTATCGAGGGACGGGCAGCAATGCTTTCATTCGTTATGTCATTGAGTTCTTTGTTAGCCTGCCAGATTGTGTACTTCCTGATTATAAAGTATTAAATCCAGTGGTTTTTATTCCCATGTCGAAATGTTCTCTTTCAGGAACTTTGGCAATGCCGCCAAAGTGGACGCTTGGGTATCAACAGTGCAGGTGGAGTTATGAAACTGCAGACCGAGTTGTAGAGGTGGGGAAATTTCTGAATGATTCATTCCTATCAACGCTTAGAAAATGTATATTCTATTGAAGTGTCCCTCTCAATTCTCCATCTTTAGAAAGAAATTGAAGAAGATTTTCTCGACGTGTTGCAGATTGCCACAACATTTCGAGAAAAGAAGATACCTTGTGACGTGATATGGATGGACATTGATTACATGAATGCTTGGCGTTGTTTTACGTTCGACCCTGTAAGTTTACTCGTCACCTCTGAAGTTAATAAGAAAGTTCCTCTTCAACGTTGAAATATCTGCGGAGCATGTCTAGAAATATAAGTCTGAGCCGTCCATTACATGGACTTGTTGTTGCTATGGAATTCACTCATGTCCACGTACAGTGGCGAGAACTGAAGGTTCTTCCCAGCTTCGAGTTTTATCAATAAATTTCCTGGTGTGTCTGGTTTGTATCCAGTTTATGAATCATGACACCATTGTCGGGCTATGAGATTGCTTTCAGTAACACAGCATATCGGCTTGCATTCTCATGTGCAGTGTTGCCACAGAGAACTCTTCACGTAATCCAGAGACACATGTTTGTGTATTAGGTTTCAATCTCTCGCTAATGGTACAATGATTTGTGGCCCAGGAAACGTTTCCTGAACCAGCCAAGCTCTCCGATTTGCTGCATGAGAAGGGTTTCAAGGGTGTGTGGATGCTTGATCCTGGCATCAAGCAAGAACCAGGCTGGTCTGTATATGACTCTGGAACGGCTGAGGATGTTTGGGTCCTTCAGGCGAACAAGAAACCTTACGCTGGTAAGACTGACTTCAGTCTGTACTGTCGTTCAATGTTTTCTCAGGGCGCTCCATGGAACTGCATAAAACGAGTTTTTTTATGCACGTCTAGAAGTTGTACAAAAATCAATGACTTAGATAACCATATGCGCACAAAATTCTCTCGTCTTCGACACTAGTATTCAGATACCATTGAATGGATTGCAATGATGAATAATTATTTAGCCCGTGAATAATGTGTCTTTGCAGGTGAAGTGTGGCCTGGTCCATGTTGTTTCCCAGATTACACTCAAGCAAAAACTAGGAAATGGTGGGGAGGGCTGGTAAAAGACTTTGTCAAGATCGGTGTCGATGGGATTTGGAATGACATGAATGAACCTGCAGTCTTTAAGGTACTCATTTTGCTCTTAAGCTTTGATTCGGTTTTTTGCACCTTAAAAAGTGTCTTCGGATGAAGTTAATCTCGATATCTCCGTCGTGCGCAGAGTTTGTCAAAGACGATGCCTGATACAAACATTCATAGAGGAGACGAAGATCTCGGTGGAAGCCAAAATCACCAGCACTACCACAATGTACCTATCATGCTTTTTTAGAAAGATTTGAATGCATACCGAACTAACGGTCTGCATGCGTTGCATTTGATTTTTTGAGTCCGCCTTTTTCAAGACTTTTGTTTCACTAATTGATGATTCATGGAACAATCAAGCTAAAAGCTGGAAGAAGTGTTTTGATCACGAGTTGTTGGTGAGATTATTAACTCTGTATATATCGATTCTGAATGGAGCGAGATATCTTCGAAGCAGTTTTCTCACCACTCTAACAAACTATTCTGGAACTTCATTTGCTCTGTAGGTTTATGGAATGTTGATGGCTAGATCAACCTACGAAGGGATGATCCTTGCTAATCCTGAGAAGAGGCCATTTGTGTTGACCAGAGCAGGTCATGTTGGAAGCCAAAGATACGCTGCCACATGGACCGGTGACAATCTTTCAAGTTGGATTCATCTTGAAATGAGTATACCAATGTCACTAAACTTGGTACTGTATCCAGTCCCACGCAAGTTTGGAAATGGGGGTTATCAAATGTCACTTCTTTTATGGATTCAGATTCGTGTAGGAAAGTTATGTTGCACAAGAAACCTTACCTCGAAGGAAAAAGAATGGTAATCAACTAATACCACCATAAACATCTGTTTTTCAGGGTTTAAGTGGACAACCATTCTCCGGGCCTGATATTGGTGGGTTTGGTGGAAACGCTACACCTCAAATGTTTGCGCGGTGGATGGGTATTGGGGCCATGCTTCCATTTGCACGTGGCCATTCAGAGAAAGGGACTGTGGATCATGAACCCTGGGAATTTGGGAAAGAGGTAGGCTAATCATTTCATGATGAACCAATCTGTTTGATGTCGATGGTTGAATTTAGTAGGTCAGGCCTGGATGTGTGCCCTCCCTGCACATTTTGTTAATCTGACTCGTAACAGGGATAGATGAGTAACGGATTTGAAAGTGTACAACTTTGTTTGTGATGATTGGAAGGTAACAAACTTCGCAAATGTGGACTCTTTCGCAGTGTGAAGACGTCTGCAGGCAGGCACTGTACAGGAGATATCGGATACTGCCGCACCTATATACTCTATTTTACAAGGCACATACGACAGGAGTTCCGATAATGTCTCCTTTGTTCTTTGCTGGTTAGTTTCAAGCCGACTCTAGTACTCCCAGAGAGCAAGAATTTTATCGATGTGTTGGATCTATACTGGCCGTAATTGGACTTTATACTAAAAGTTTTGAAAACATATGTTACAGATCCTAAAGATGAGAAACTTCGTAAGGTGGAAGACAGTTTTCTTCTGGGACCTCTCCTTGTTGCTGCATGGTCAGAACCCTCTACACTTTGCTAAGAAAGAAGAAAGCTATTAAAGTTGAAATGATCGAATTTTGTTTTGAATCTGAAGTATATGCTGAACAAAAGGTAGTACTGTTCAAGAAAGCAGAGGTTGTTCAAGTGTCAGTATATTTTTCTTCGCTGAAATCATATTGGTGCATGTGCAGTACTAAGGCTGGCAAGAAACCTGATCCAAAGAAGACTGTCCTACCTAGTGGGTTGTGGCAGCTCTTTGATTTTGATGACTCACATCCGGTGAGTTAACGTTTAACTGAAACCGGGACGGGAAGACCTGATTTTTTATTATATGATCTTACGCAGTGTGCAGTGTTCACAGGACTGAAAGTCTCGTAGACTGTCAGATGGTTTCATGCTGTGTACGAAACTACCTAGGCATGCTCGTAATGAAAAAATACATTGTCATGTTTAATTGCTCAGCCATCAAGGGACTGTTTCTTCCAGCATCTTCTGACAAAAATTTTAACCTGCCATTTTGAATCGAGATGATATCCGTAGAACGTGTTGATGTGAAAGAACAATGTATGTAATACACATAGCAGCACGTACGTGTCTTTCACTTCTTTCAGAAATTTATTTGTGACTTGTTTTCAATTCAATTTCAGGATTTACCGTTACTGTTCCTCAAGGGAGGATCTATCATCCCGACTGGTCAGGTTTCACAGAACACTGGTGATGTCAGTGAGAATGATCCCATCACCCTCATCATAGCTCTTGATGAAGAAGGTTAGTGGTCCGAGATTCTGATGTTATTCTAATAGGTGCTTCAATTACATGCACGCACGTTTCTCTTTTCGGTGATTATTGCATCTAGAACTACTGATACATATGCATGCAGAAGACCAAATCTTCCAGTGAACTTCGTCTAGGCTTGATACATATATCACATGAACTGCATATCGGCAAGGCTTTACATTCTCAGCTATAATTTGCTGATATGCTTGAGTTGTTGATTGTTGACTTGCAGGAAAAGCAGAAGGGACACTCTACGAGGATGATGGAGATAGTTTTGAATATAAAAAAGGACAGTTCTTGCTTACTCGTTACTCTGCTGCCCTGGTCTCCAGCTCCACCGGAGGTTCAAGTGGAAAAAAGATCGTCATCAAAATCACCCAGTCGGATGGTTATCTTAGCAGGCCCAAGCGTCCTCTCAAAGTGCGCATTTTGCTCGCAAATAAAGCGGAGGTAAGCTATGTATCATTGCTTTACTTGGCATGAGACCGTCAATCCTCGACGAATAACTGGAGACATTTGTGGGGACAGCTGTAAAAGAATATTTTGAAGAGAATCGAAGGAAAACTTGTGAATGAACAGCTTCTGAAATATCTGTTAACGAGTGTTTTCACTTTCTTGGCCGCAGCTTGAGGGTGAAGGTGTCGATGGCGAGGAATTGACTGTCGACCTGCCTTCACGTTTCGACATGGCCCAGATCACGACTCTCATCCAACAGCAGGATCTGCCAAAGGAAGGTTGTTCATATAAGCTCGTCATTGTATTTAAAGTTTTTCTCACAGTTGTGGGCTTCAGCGTGGTGATTTTTCATTTTCAAGAAACTTATGGAGGACTGAAGAGACTCCGGTAGCTCAAGGGTGATATGTTCTGCCGCTCAGACGCTGTGGAAAACTCTCCTAGTGTTGCATTTGTGACTCAGAGCAGATGTAACTCCTATTACTCGTGAAAACTCCATAATTGCAGATGATGAGAATATTCCAGATGAAGCCGATCACGAGACCTCAGAGAGCCTTGCAGTTCCTCCAACGACTCTCCTGGATCTGAAAATTGGTGACTGGTCTCTAAAAGTGGCGCCCTGGATTGGTGGTCGGATTGTTTCTATGATCCACGAGCCCACAGGTACAAACACTATGAAGTTTTCTACTTTTGTGAATTTTTTTTAGTAAGCTAAAATTTCGAGCTCCTCTAATTTGATCCTGCAATTCAAGGATACATACACTTACAAATGCATTCATTCCAATACAGAGACCGAATGGCTGGAAGGAAAACTGGAGCATGGAGCGTATGAAGAGTACAGTGGGGTCGAATATCGATCTCCTGGCTGTGTGGAGCAGTATGATGTCAAGTAAGGAATCAAAACCATGCTGTAAAGTAGAAAATATTCTTGTACACCTTGATTGCTTCCTGGATTAATTCGTCGAACGATATACATCTAAGCCTCTACATGCGTCTGAGCAGAAAGGAGCAGTCAGATATTGAAGGAACAGACGGAGTAGTTATGGAAGGTGACATTGGTGGAGGATTGGTGATGTGTCGTCAAATTGGCGGCAAGGGAGCTGATTCGAAAATAGTACAGATAAGCTCCTCAATTGAGGCTAGATCTGTTGGTGCTGGTTCAGGTGGATTTTCTAGGTAAGTTTGCTCATTGTCCTATTCCGCAAATCATCTTGTCTTTTAATTGTTTAGTGTTCATGTGAGCCCGGCATGTACGTCACACTTAACTCTAACAGTAGTGGGATGGAGGCAGAAAAACGGGCAGGTGGTGTGGAAAAGGGCGGAATTATTGAGCTTCCACCTCATTTAGTTTTAACACATTCTTTGTCATTCAGGTTGGTGTGTTTGCGGGTGCATCCATCTTTCAAAGTTGCCAACTATGAACTGGCATTGGTGAAGTTCACATCCATCAGTGGAGAAGCTCGAGAAATAGTCCCGAAGCCCGGCGATATAATGTTGACAGCAGACGACCGACCAAATGGTGAGTCTTGGCCCCCACTCCTGCCACACCTTAAAACAAGTTGCAATATCGTGTGCATCATAAATTTCCTAGATCTGACGCAGTAGTACTACTTACAGCGGTTGATACTAAAGGAACGAAGTCTCACCAATATCTAGAAGCTCCTGACACGCGCCTGTTGCATGGATGCAGGAGAGTGGGCATTCTTAGACAAAGAGAACGGAGTGGCCATCGTGAACAGATTCAACCCAGAGCAGGTGTTCACGTGTGTAATCCACTGGTCAGCAGGCATTTGCAACTTGGAGCTTTGGTCTGAGGAGAGGCCCGTTTCCAAGGAAACACCTCTTCAGATATGCCATGAATATGAGACTGTCAGTGAGCAGGAGCTGCTTCAGTCTCAGCCTTGAGCGTGGTGGGCTCCACGGTTTCCTGACTCTTGTTCTATGGGAAGGTTTGAGAGCCGACCTGATCGTTCTGCCCGGATCAAGTTGTGTCGTGGTATCAAGCCTGTCAATTGTTGACGAGCTTGACTGTTAACAGGCTTGAGCAAATAGCATAATTCTGTACAGCTGTACACCGTTGGAATGTAAATCAAGAAATATTCTTTGCAGTAAAATTCTCAAAATTCTAAATTCTCATCGTCTCCAGTTTCTGGTGATCTGAAAGACATGATCGATCCTGCTTCCTGTTAGATATGCTTTGTCATGGAAATAACCGCGGAGAGATCACACATGTGAGTTGTTGATGGATGACTAAGATGTGAGGGTGGTGATAATCTACTTGAAGGGTGTTATTGGGTGTAAGCAAAGTATGACGAGTGTAAGACATTTCGGATGATTCGTAGACTTAATGAAACACCATTTGGAAGTGCAAACACCGTTTCATTGCAATTGCAGAAACATAACATATGGTTAGTTCTCAAAGGAGCGAAGTAGTGGACGAAGATCTCATATTCTAATTTCCATTGGACTTGAAGTGGGATTAATCGTGATCAAGTCTTTCTAATCGCGCTGGGGTTCGCTGATGTTATCAGATGCGGACACAACCCCGTGCACTTGGGGCATCTCAACAGAGACCAGAGACCGCAAACCAAGCTATGCCACGTTCTGTAGCTGTAACTATTCCTATGAACCATTAAGTTCAAGCTTTCCTTGCCACTGAAGTCAACGAAGATCAAGATGCTCAAGACGTCTGCATGCGGAAGATATCCAAAGTTGCACCAGAAAATAGATCTGCGCTCACTGCTGCCATGATCAGGACCACAACCATCCTCTTTAGAGACCCTTCCATCTATCCATTCATAAGACGCAGAATCATTCTTTCTCTTTCTCTCTTTTCTCTCTCTCTCTTCTCTCCAGGATATAGAAATCAAACGCCCTCTGGAACGAGTCTTCGCTTCGGTCGTCACCGCGTCCGGAGAGCAAGCCAGGAGATGTGCATCGGCAGGTCTTTTCCCGAATTGGAGGAGCTCGATGTCAGAGGAGACGCCGGGCTGGTCATTTAGCGATCTAGTCGTCCGAGTTCAGATGATGAAGATCAGTGTGGACCGGCTTAACTTTATGGGAATCACGTAGTTCTCAGCGTCGTGCACTGCTGGGCTAGCTAGCTGTCTCGCAAGTTCACGATGCATGGAGATTGAGGAGTACATGGAGAATTGAGTTTTATGTTTCTCTGGAGGTGGACACCATGCACTTACTCAGAAGATCTACAGGTCGGGCATCGGTCGTTTCCTCTCCTGATCTGCCCGCTCTCCGCGGACGATTGAGGATGCTGGTGATTCTGGTTCTGTGTTGCCTCCAGCTCGGTGCTTGCGCCGTTGGTCAAGAGGATACCACCTTCGGAGAAATAAGCAGAATCGAGACTCTTGATGAGACTCTCCAGGATCCAGATTTCGATGCACGTGCAGAATCGGCCGGGAAAGAGCATGGCAGCATCAACATCGAGAGTGGACTTCCTCCGGCTTCCTCCGTCGAAGCGCATATGGGCCAGCAACAAGCACACGGCGGTCCCTGGAGCCAGCGAGAGCTGCAGCAGTTTGGACTTCAGGACCAAGCCGTCGACACTTCGTTAACGAATCGTCATGAGCCTCTCCATCGTTTTCAGGAGGAATCTGCACGCTGCAGAGGAATATCACGCGCTTTGCTCCAAGACAGCTTCGGGTAAGTGACATTTAGCAGCAAGATATCATCTGATAGAGAAGTGCACAATTCTGCACCTGTGGCTTGTGTCCTTCGTCCGAGCATGTGCACAGCAATGCGCATGCTCGGACGAGTGAGTGAAATTCATCTCTAACGCCATACGAGTCCAATGTGTTGCCACTGTCGCAGGGAGGCCGATGCGCTCCTGCAATTCAAGGCCGAAATTGAAAGCTACACTGACAACGCTTTGGATGGATGGACAACGGGGAATCGCTCCACCTACTGCTCGTGGACGAGGGTCATCTGCGACGATGAGCTGCACGTGATCTCCTCAACTTCTCCGGGCTCAAGATGAACGGCACTTTGGGTCCTTCGTTGAGCAAGCTCGAATACCTTGCGGACCTCGATCTGAGCCACAATTTCCTGTTGAGCGAGCTTCCAGTGGAATGGGGCCGGCTGCAGAGGCTGCAGACCTTGGACGTCCACGACAATTTTCTCTTCGGTGGAGTTCCTGCAGAGTACGGCAACATGTCGAGCCTACGAGTCCTCTACATCGGAGCACAGGGCGAGTTCTTCAATGGGTTCATTTCGGAGGAGCTGGGTTTGCTTTCTGAGCTCGAGGTTCTGGTCCTGAGCACCCTCTTCAATGGCGGGTTCTTCAATGGGTTCGACTCCATTGAGGACTACTACCCTTTCCGGTCGAACGAGATGAGAGGCCCCATTCCCAAGTCCATCGCCAACTGCACGAAGCTGTGGTACTTGGATTTCTCCGGCAACAACAAATTGACGGGTCCCATTCCGAGAGAGTACGGCCAGCTCGTGAATCTAGAGTATCTGAGCTTCGAGCGGAACAATTTCACAGGCTCCATCCCATCCGAGCTGGGCAACCTGACGAAGATCAAGTATCTGCACTTGGGAAACAATGCCCTGGAGGGAGAGTTCCCCGTGGAGCTGGCGTCGCTGTCGGAGCTCGAGTTTCTGAACGTGGGGAACAACTTCCTGAGGGGGAGTTTTCTGAAAGTGAAATCCACTTCGTGGAATCGGCTCGAAAAGCTCTTCATCGACGGGAACAACTTTCGTGGCGGCTTTCCCAGAGCTGTGACGGCCATGACGGCCCTGACGGAGTTCTACATGTTCGACAACGAGTTCACCGGCGGCCTCCCCGAGAACCTGGGACAGCTGGCCAACCTCCAGGTTTTCAGCTTCAGCAGCAACCGGCTGGACGGGGAATTGCCCGACAGCCTCAACAACTGCACGCAGCTCCAATCGCTGGAAGCAGCGAGGAACAACCTCACGGGCACGCTGGACCCGCTGAGAAACCACTCGCATCTCGTTTTACTGATCGCAAGTAACAACAATCTCACGGGCACGCTGGACCCGCTGAGAAACCTGGACGGCATCATGTTCTTGATCCTGAACGACAACGACTTCCGAGGCCACATTCCCGCCGAGCTCGGCAAGCTGCCGGATTTGGTACTCCTCTTCCTGCACAATAACCGGCTGTCGGGGCCCATACCCACCAGCTTGGCCGACCTGAAGAGCATCGGAGACATCAATCTGAGCAACAATTTTCTGACAGGAGAAATCCCCCCGGAGTTCGGAGGTCTGGAGTATTTGGGGTACTTGAGCCTGCATGTCAACAGGCTGACAGGCGGAATCCCTCCAGAGCTGGGGCGACTGCAGAATATGGTGTATCTTATCCTCGACAGCAACAAGCTCACGGGAACCATTCCCGCGTCTCTGGCGAACTGCAGCTCGCTGACAATCATCAGGCTGAGCAACAACAAGCTCACGGGCACAGTCACTCAGATTGACTTCTTGCAGCTGCGATCCCTCGAGAGCTTCTCTGTCAAAGGGAACCAGCTGGGCGGAGAGTTTCCCGTGAGCGTGTACAACTGCACGAATCTGAAGCTCCCGGACCTGAGCAGCAATCAATTCTCAGAGGAGCTCCCGGACAACTACGAGTACTCTCAGCCAGTGCTGCGCGAATTGCGAGTATTGAAATTAGCATCCAACAAATTCGGCGGCCGCGTGCCCGGCTGGATCTGGAAGCTTCCGGATCTGCAAGTGCTCGACTTGTCGCACAACTCATTCACGGGAGTCTGGCCCACCAATCTCTCAGGGTTGGAAGGCTTTAGTCGCCTCGAAGCGTCGCCAGACGACGCCGGGGGAGACATCAATAGCATCATCCCCGAACGGGTGGAGGTGAAGGGGAACAAATTGCTCGAGCAAATCTCCATTGAGGCCAAAGGTTCGAGACTCGAACTCGAGTACGTCCTTGAGACTTTGTTCTCCATCGACCTGTCATATAACCAGCTCTCCGGGAGGCTCCCGTACGCGCTTGGAGAGCTGCGCGGGTTGACGTACTTGAATCTGGCGCACAATAATTTCTCGGGCAAAATCCCTCAGGAGCTTGGAGATCTGCCGCGTCTGCAGTCACTGGATTTGTCGGCCAACTATCTCACGGGGAAGATTCCTGCGGTGCTCAGCAGGCTCAGCTTGAGCTATCTGAATCTCTCCTACAACTTCCTCGAGGGCGAGATCCCCACGGCGGATGCTTTCTCCACGAGGTATGCCAATTCGTCCTTCAAACCCGGGAACGATAAGCTCTGCGGGCCCCCGCTCGAGACCACTTGTGTGGCGCAAGACAGCAACGCAAGCGGAAGGTCGGCCAAACTCGGAGCTCCGTCGTCCGAGCTCCTGGATGGTACATTCTGGCGAGCCTTCGAGATCGGAACGGCGATCGGGGTCGTAATTGTGATCGGGGTCGTGATCGGAACGCTGAGAACAATGCCCTGCGCACGACACTGGCTACTGCATAATCATAATTTTGCTCGCCATTTGAAACACAGTAGATACGGAGTGTTCAACGAACCGACATAGACCGAATCATTCAAGAGCTGACTGCTCGCTTTGCACCCGGCTGGACCCCGGGGTCCAGCCGGGGCTTACGAGATTCCGCATGAATGGGGACTCGTTGTCCGCCATACACATGTGCTACTGCTGCTGGGCCTCTAGATAGCACAGCGTTGTCTGCACTGAGTTGTTCCAATTGGACTGTGTAAAGTAGAGCTAGATTCCACGACGATTCATGATTGCAGGAGTACTCCCCTTGGAAGCTTTTGCCTCCGGATTGGAGAAGCTTCATTGTAATTACTTGATGGGACTGCGGGAGACTCAAATCACTTGATAGCCCCCACCATGTTTCATTTTATATGATAGGACCACACTTGACTGCAATGCATGTCACGTTCAACATTGTTTCAATAACAATTTTTATAACCTGATAATTTACATTATAGTGTGAAGAGTTTATGCCCTTTGTTGGGCCAAAATATTGTTTCTCGAGAATAATTTGGCAGCGATGAAATGATTTTTACAATGCTGGAAAGAGTTGAAAGCGTCTTGCTGCCACTTGACGAGCCTTCTGAACCTCTCTCTTTCAACCCCGAGACGACCGGCACCACGAGCAGAAGAGAACCGTAAAGAATCGGTCTATCAAAACTGCAAGTCGATTCATGCGTAGAAATGCCTCCCGCTTCCGACGATGATGAGCACGCGGACATTCGGATCGGCATCGAGAGAAGGTACGGCGGCAAGAATTTATCGGAACATCGCAGCATTCAGTGTGTTCGATTGCTTTGGTAGATTCAAAACCAGCCGAGCGAAGCCTGCAAAATCTGGCCCTCAACCGCCACGAAATGCTTACGTCGTACTTCATCTTCATATACACTACGAACTAGTACCAGAAATACGAGGGCACCATGATTCTGAAATACTCTCTATAGAGTCTTGCCATAACTGCATCCGGAAAAAAAAACATTACCGAAATAATCCCATATCGTATTTGAACATCTGCGACTATGGCCGTCGAGGGTTACCATAGGGTAAAATGAAACCCTTTGGGTCCTATCAAATAAATCATTAAGATTTTTTTTTGGTCATCATGGGTTTTTTTGAGGAATCATTGTGCGCCATACAAATGTGCTACTGGGCCTCTAGATAGCAGAGCGTTGTCTGCACGGAGTTGTTCCAATTGGACTGAGTAAAGTAGAGCGCTCGGAAGGCCAGATTCCACGACAATTCATGATTGCAGGATATCACACTCCCCTTGGAAGCTTTTGTCTCAAGATGGGAGTAGCGTCATTTTAATATAAAGGCTCAGAGCTTTGAGTAGATGCCACGTCCAGTTTGTTCGACGCATCTCCTTGTAAATACATTTAGTATATATGTTTTATTGAGTATTTATACTTATGACTAAACATGATTTGTATTCTACAGATCATTCAATCCATGATTTAATATAAATTATAATTGATATAATGTAATGAAAATTCACGACAGGAGATGAACATAATCTCACAGGATCACAAAATTAATTATTGAGCGCGATAAGCATACTAGTCTAGCTAAATATTTCAATAAAAGCACAACCAAAATCCTAAAACGACTGTTCTAGTAAATTCAACCCACGGTCACCTAAGAACTGTCCAAATTGACAGTGGGTTGATTGATAAATCAAAAGATTGTATTAAGGATCGTAGAAGACATATTACATAAATTTCTGAAGTGAAAGTGTGGAGGTATGTTCAAACATGCTAAAGTGTGTTTTCTAAAGATGAAAAAACAAACTGGACATCATTGTTCTTCAGATTTGTTGCTAATGGACAATGTACTTGGACACTTTAAGGCTTTTGAATGCCACAATGTTAGGATAGTTTTTTTTTCTGCAAATTTCACAAGTTGGAAACAACCTTGCAATATGGACATAATCGCAGCTCCAAAAAAAAAGTTCAAATATCTTTATCTCAAGTATGTTCTTGACTTTTATGAAATGGATGAGGAGAAAAAAATTTAATTAAGAACGCAGAGATAGAAATTGAAACGTGATATTGCTGGATTTGCATACAAATGCCCAACTCACTTGCTTGATGGTACAAATTATGTCAAACAAGCTTGGCAATATGTGTCATCCAACTATATCAAAAATGCATTTGTTAAAACAAAAATAATGATATTAGAAGCCGATCAGTAAGTTGTGAACGAGATGGAACATTAAGTGACTGAAGTTACACAAGATATTGCAACTTTAAATCTTTCAATTGGACAAGAAGAGCTTGAAGCATTTCCTCATGTTTACGATGAAAAAAATGAAGTATTTACAATTGAAGATATGGAAGAAGTTGAAGAGCTTTTGGAGACTATGAAACTTGGAGAAGAAAACCTAGATGATAGAAAAAATTATAAACTTTTTGACTCTCAATTTTCATATTTAGGTTCAGAAAGTAGCTTTGTATGTAAGTAATTTGAATCACTTTATAAGGAGGTGGTTGATATAAAGTATCAGTTGCTGTGCTCAGAATATCATAAAGAGCCAAAGTAACATCTTGATGCTCTTAGACATTTGTTTGAATCTTTTCATAGCAAGATCACGTTTGTCACTATTAAAGCAACTAGAGAATTTACACCAAAGGTTAATTCACAACATGTTGAAAAAATAAACTTGATCCGTGTTTTGTTAGAAAAACAATGCATACTTATCTGAGTTGCGTATATAAACGCGTGGTTATTTAACTGAGAGGTTACTGTACCAAAGTACCGCTCTCATCTATATTTAAATAACAGCGCAGGAGTACTCGAGATCATAGTGATATTGCACTACAGGACTCGTGGGCTGGTATACAAGAGCATCATAGTAAAACCTCGTTGTCCGCAAGAATACTAGTCATCGCGTTCAATACAGAAGAACGGTTCTCAGCGGCATCAGCCACCATCGAGAGCCTCAGCCAGATCTTGATTGCAGCCAGCACCAAGTTGCATGGGGTCAGCAACGTCCTGCTAAACGTAAACCATGCCATAGCACTCAAATTCTCCTGCAGAAAAAAGAACAAGTTGGAGAGTATTATAGACGGTGAGCAATACCTTGGTTCTACTCTGACATGTATAATCAACAATTGACAACATCTTGCAGATTTTTTCATGAAAAAATCTGTATTATGTCAAAAGCATAATATAAAATGTAATTTGCATACACATGAGATGATAAATAAAGTGATATTTTTGTCAAAATAATTTAAAACTTACTATTAACGTAATTTTTTCATACAGATATTGTCTAAAGTATAATGATATGTATGGTAGGGGATTGTGTGTGGGGCTGTTTATGCAACTCTATCATAGTTCTTTATCTTTAGGATTCAAAATCTGCCAAAAAAGGATATTGGTGATATGGAATGATTAAGATCATCAAAAGAGTGTATATATGTACAAGATGTTTTTATTTTATGGGCTTAGATCATTTGCATAACTCTTGGTGTTGATCTAACATGGAGATAAATTTATTAATGAGTTTCATGTTTTCTGTGGTTTAGCAGCAACTTACCTTTGAAGATGATCACGTGGCTAAACTCTTTTCACAATTATTTTTCAAGAAAAATACTAAAAAAATCATTTAAAAACTTTTGACTCAAAAGAAATATACTTTTCATTAGAATATGAGAGCTTTAGGTTTTGAGTTGATTTTAATGATGTGATTTGAAGGTTGTGATGTGTGTAATTTTACGTCACATTAATTTCTCAAAATTGATGCTTTTAAATTTGTTCAAATATCTTAATTGATGCTTATGCATATGATCCATTTAACATTTGATGAATCAACAATTATGTAGATTGTGGATATTGTGCAATAGCAAAAGTTCTGGATGAGTTTCAAAGTATACTTAGCAGAGCGCACGAGTAAATTACTCATCTAAGTCATGTGGTCAAAATTAATTCATATTTGCTATAGTATTCACACACAATTATCATATTTAAGATCATTACCAAGTATTGGAGCAATATTGATTGAAATTCTCCATGGAGTAAATATGGGATGAGCCAAATAGATGATATGCTTAGCCACTACAGCAGTATATGATAGTGATTATATGATATAGATATGTCTTCTCTTACTTCCATGTTGTAGCTATCTATATGAACATGTAGAGACCATGGGGCAACTTTTGGTTTCCTAGATGCATTGTACAGCTATTTATCTTCTGAGTTGTCAAATGACACAATTAGAATTTATCCATTTTTCAAGTTTTAGGTCACTCATTTCACGTTGGTTTATAAGTACATGATGATTGTTATTAGCAATTTAGCTAACAAGATTTTATAAATAAACATACGTTCTCAGACTTACTTGATGGGAGTCCTCAGAAAAGCAACACACTTTGGATTCAACATGTTTCATTTTACAGGATGGAACAATCTCTTAAACGTAAAATCAAGAATCATTCAAGCAAGTACAAACACACGAGACACTCATATAACGTGGTTCACCGTCAAGGCCTATGTCAACGGTTGAAACACACGAGAAGATTTACTAACAACTGAATACTCAATGCACATCCGAATAGAAGCCTTAGGGGAATATCTATATCCAAAGTGAGTGACAAACTTGGCTAAAAATAGCCATGACCTTAAATTACTCCTTAATAGGAGTTAAACTCAACCATCTCCCCTTTAGCTTGTGTTAAAGAAAAAGTAACCTCTGTAACCTATATTATTATTCAATGGGAAATTCTAGAAAGAAATCTAACACAACGCCTCTCTTTACGCGAGAGTTAACTAGAACTAGAGAGTAGCCATAACACAATAGAGTAATAATATAAAGAGGTAAATAAAAAACCTGTTTGCATAGAAGGATCAGAGATCTTATAGTCTGTTTAATTATTCCACGGTAAGTTCTAGAAAGAAACTTAATATAAGCTCCTTGTTTACACAAGAATTAATTAGAGTTAAAACCGTAGCCATCACATGATAGAGTAAATAT